ACGGGAAGCAACTTGCCTGGCAGCACAGCAATATGGGGAGAAAGGGACAGGAGCCCCAGGTGGTTCTGCAGGGAGCCTGGGAGGGGCACTGAAGGCTGAATGGGGTGGGGTGGGGGGCTGGGCCCCCGGAAGGGCAGAGTCCAGGGAGGCCGTGGATGCTGCAAGGTGGCTGAAGATTGCGTCAGGGTCCACCCTGATGTGGACACCCTGGGCCGTCCTGGCTTGATGCAGCCCGGGCAGAGGGCCACCTCGCCCACTAGGAGCGGCCGGAGCTCCGGGCTCCACAGGAGGGTCCCAAGACAACTCCTGGCTCTGGCTGCCCGCACAGACCCCCAGGGGGCTCCGTCCTCCTGGACCCTCCACTCTCCAGGTCCCCGCAGATCACCCTTATCTGTCCGTGTGCTTGTGACATGTCATGGTGCCTAAACGGTCCTGTGTGCCTGGCAGGACGTGCTTGGTGGCCAGGGAGGAGGGCAGCGGCGGCAGATGGAGGGCTGGGCACCGGGCCAGGCCAGGACGCAGGTTATCCTGGGAGGCTGTGGGAGCCCAGCAGGACCTAGTCTGCTGGGGTTTTCGAAGGACCCCTGGGGAGCCACGGGGAGGACAGACAGGAGAGGCCGGTGCGGTGGAGGGGAACGAGGTAGAAGGCTGCTGGAATGTTCCGGGCGGAGTAGATGGCTTGGATGGGGGTGGCAAGGGGGCACGTTCTGGTTGTCCTGGAAGGGCCGGGCACGAGGTGTAAGAGAAAGTTGATGAGGGCTGCCCTGGCCAGTTTGGCTCAGCGGTTAGAGCATCAGCCTATGGCCCAGAGAGACCCGGGTTCGGTTCCCGCTAAGGGCGCGTATTTTGGTTGCAGTTTGTCCCCGGCCCTGGATGGGTCGTGCGGGTGGCAGCCACTCGATGTGTCCCTTTCACGTTGATGTTTCTCTCTCTCTCTTCTTCTCTCTCTCCCTCTCACTCTATCTGAACAAAAACAAACAAAAAAAAGAAAGTTGAGGAGGGCTGTCTGCAGCCCGTCCACAGGAAGGCAGGTTGGGGAGCTCGGGGCCTTGGTTCCCACATGCACTGGTGGGACCGGTGGAGGGGTCCCCGAGACAAGGTCAGGAGGGTGATGCGGTCCTGCCCAGTTTCTGCTGGGGCTCGGTCCTCGGGACCCAGCCACCTCTCCCTCGGTGGCTCCCAGACCCCCAGCGTCACCTCTGTGCCATTCCCCAGGCGAGAACTGCTCAGCGGTGCCCGGGGACCCCCAGAAACAGGACTGTAGATGGCACTGTTGCCGTAAACCACCAGCTCTGCGTGATTTGGGGTGCCGCCGACTCCAGGCAGCAGGGGCCCCGTTCCTGCTGGGGTCGGTGGCAGAAGCAGCCTCCTGGGCTGGGGAGGATGCTCGCCAGCCTGGCTCAGTCCCTACCGCCCAGGAAAGTGGCTCATAGCCTGGGGGCTCCAAGGACGGCCGGCAGCTGCCACCCCGAGGACACACCCACCTGGGCACAGGGCCCAGCTGGCCCCACGGCTTTGAGCAGGACCTCGGATGTGACCACTGGGTTTCATGCCGGCTCCTGGTCCTCCAAACAGCTGCCCCCCCCAGCCTCCGTGCCCCGATTTGGAAACTGGAAGTAACTGCCTTCCCTTCATTCAAATTACGTTGTCAAGTGCAGGACAGCGCCGGCAACCACATTGCCCTGGTTCTTTGTAGGGGTGACGGCCCTTGAGAGCCCCGCCACCTGCTCCCGGGAAGGTGGCAGGAGGGGGTGAGGGGGGGTTCAGTCCCCTCGTGCTGCAGCCCACGAGCAGGGCTGAAGCCTGTGCCCCCACCATTCCCATGATGAAGCCCCAGCCAACGGGAGGGTGTTAGGGGGTGAGGCCATGAATGATGAGAAGCCGGGATTAGGGTCCCTAAAGATGAGACCAGCCCGGCCAGTGTGGCTCAGTGGTTGAGTGTCGTCCCTGCACCAAGAAGTTGCCGCCGGTCAGGGCACACGCCCAGATTGTGGGCCCGATCCCCAGTGGGGGGCATGCAGGAGGCGGCCAGTCGATGTTCTCTCTCATCATGTTTCTCTTTCTCTCCCTTTCTCTTGTTCTCTTTTTAAAAAAGTAAAAATATTTTTTAACCAGAGACCAGAACTCTGCCTGCCACCGGAGGACACAGGAAGTGGCTCTCCAGGAAGGAGCCTGCAGCACCGACCTGGGGTTCCCAGCCTCCGGGACTGGGAGTCAGACTGTTTGAGCCCCCAGGCTGCAGCGTTTGATAGGGCCCCCTCAGCCCAGACCAGTGCCTCAGTGTCCCCACCTGCAAAATGTGTTCTGGCCCTTGCAGCCACCCGTGGCGACGCTTTGTACACGTGGCACCCACGCGCGGGGCCATGTGTTTGCCCACGAGGCCGAGCCCCGCGGAGGTCACCGCCCCTGTGCCCGGCGTGGGGTCCTCGCCCTTCCTGGTGCGGCAGGTGTGCTCTGACCTCCTTCGGGGGATCTGTCCAGGGCTGTCACCATGGCAGCAGTGTCCCTGGAGGGCCCTCCACTTCTCCAAGTGGAGCCAGCTCAGCCAGGGATAAAAATAGACTTTGGCCGAAAACCCTCCGTCTCCCCGTGAAACCTCCAGGTGTTTCTGCGGCGACTTACCTGACACCGAAACTGTGCACAGCATCATCCTGCCACACGCCGGCCCAAGACGCAGAACCGGAAACTGACTGAGACTCTTCAGGCTGCGACCGCCCCGGAGCTTCGGGGGTGCCAAGGTCGTGGAGGGCAAGGGAAGACCGAGGGGCTTGGAGAACGAAACCCGGGGGCAGCTCAGGGTCCCGGGGACGCTGGGTCGCGTTGTCCACAGAGGGTGTCGGGACAAGTGCAGAGACCTGACGGGTCCCGTTATTTCTTGATTTGACCGTGGGGCAAAGTCAAACTGTGACCGTGGGAAGTGCCCCAGACGATGTAGGTAAGAGAAGGTTCCTGTCCTCTACCTGCAACTCCTCTGAACAGATTATTTCAAAGTGTAGAGACAGACGTGTGTGGAGGAGGAGGGGAGGGGCGGTGTGTGCCGTGGGTTTGCTCGGGAGCCCAGACGGAAGCTGAGGATGTCACCGATGACTCGTCCCTCCTGACCCCACGCGGGGTCCCTGACTCTGTCCCTGGCGTTCGTGTCTTTACACAAGACAGACTTGGTGAGAAAGTTTTATCAAAGTGTTTGGCTTTAACACGACGGCAAGACCACCACCCACCTTAACGGCCTGGCTTCCTGCAGACCTGGTCCGGTCTGCTCTGCCCCCGGGGCTGAGGCTCTGCCCCCATCCTCTCTGGGCCCTTTCCCAAAATGCACAGGGACCCCTGCAAATGGAGGGGGGCCATGCGGGGGAGTGGGCGGGCAGGGGCGCCCTAAACGAGCGAGGAGAGACTTCCAATGAGTGGTCTGATGGGCACAGAGCCCTCCCAGCTCCAGGGACCAGACGGCGGGCAGACCGGCCTGGGACGCGGCCTGGAGCCTGCTGCGGCAGCTGAGCATTCTGGGTCCTGTCTCTGCTACCTGGGCGCAGGTGAGGGTGTGCTCTCAAGCAGTGACTTTCCTGCCCCTCCCTCGGGCTAGTGGGGACATTCAGGGGTGACTTCCTGTTACCAGGCTGTGAACTCGATGCCCTGTAGCAGCTACCGCCCGGGGGTGGCAGTTCTCTCGTGGGAGGACACAGCTTTCTGCTCAGCAGGCCTGCCTGCCCGGACGTCTGCGCTGCGGCTCCTGCCTTGGCCCCTGCCCCCTGCCTGGGACCAACTCCTCCTCCTCCTCCCCAGGTGGCCTCCTGCACCCCAAGGACATCACACTGCAGGCGGGGGGCCCTGCTGGGCACCAGCCCCGGTTCTGAGCCTCACAGCCTATGCTCCTCAGTAGTCTCTTCCTACCTGAACCCCATGTTCGCTCTGGGTGTTAGGAGGCCCCTCCAGGCCCAGTCCACACCCCCGGGAACTCTGGTGAATGGCTCCCCGCAGTGCAGGAGGCGGGCTCCTGACCCAGGGGCTCCCCTGCCCCTCTGGGCGGGACGGAGGCTGCTGTCCTGGACCCTGAACCCCGGGCAGCAGGCGGGCTGGCAGCCACGCCCCAGGCGCCTCCCGTCTCCTGCACGCCCCTTCACCCACAGGCTTCGTCGGACGCGCCAGCCAGAGCGGCGGACCTGAGACCTGAGAGGCCCCGGGCTGCAGGCAGGAAGCTCATTTCCTGAGCCGGCCTCCACTTGCCCATCTGTGAAATGGGTGTCATGACCCCGGGGACACGGAGTCGTCGAAGTGCTGGATAGAACGGTGCTGGTGAACCCCAAGGAGGAAGTGACCACTGTACAGCCCCCCTGGAGGCCCCCACCACCTGAGTACAGGCGGGCTTGGGGTCCAGGTCTGGAGCGCGGCCACCCCGGGCCCCGCTGGAAGGGTGTCAGGGAGCTGAGCCTGTGCGCTAGGAAGCAGGGGGCCGTGTGGGTGGTGTCACAGGGAGTCCAGCGGTGGCCCCCACGTGGGGGCTCGTCTGGGGTGGCAGCTGCCTGAGCGAAGCAGTGACAGGCCCTCTGGGCCCGGGGACAGGAGCCCACGGGTGGGCAGAAGCACCAGGGACCAGGGACGCAGTGCAGACGCGAATGGGGGGTGCCGGCCGTGCTGTGCGGTCCAGGGCCCAAGTGAGGCCACCGGCCCTGCTGCCCGGCCCGTCAGTGGAGCTCGGTGTCCCCTGGCTGCAAGGACAATGTCTCCCGGACTCCCGGCTGGGCTGCGCCAGGGTGGGTGGAGGCGGAGCAGCAGGCTCGGTGCTCCTGCGTCCAGAGTCAGTGTCCACCGGCCAGGGGGCCACGCCCTGGGCCGCGCGCCGGCTGGGAGGCTGACACGGTGCTCTGTTCCGGGGCCGCTAGGCCGGGTCCCCAGGCCACACCCTTCCCCTCTGGGAGCTCTTGCTTTGGGTGCTGGAGGGCGGGCGCACCGTCCCTGCCCTGGGCAGCCCTGGGCTGTGACCGTCTGTCCTCTCGCACCGGCTGTCAGAGCGCTAGGGCCCAGGCCCCCCTCCACAGGAAGCTCAGCAGCAGCAGCTTGGCGACCAGCAGGGAGTCCAAGGCCCCCGGGGGGTCGGCAGCCAGGGAGCTGCAGGCGCACACCTGGTAGCCGTCCTCTGAGTGGCTGTGGTCGTGCTGCCCGGGCGGGGCGTGGGCCCCGGCCCCTCCCTCCGCCCCCGCGGAGTCGCCCTGCGGGTCTCGGCAGGCCAGCCAGTCCCGGGCGGTGGACTGCGGGTACCCGGGCGCCGCGGCCAGCTCGCTGTCCGGCACCTTCCAGTACTCCCTGCCGCGGAAGAAGTAGGCGGCCCCTGGGGAGGAGACGGAGGGCAGCTGAGTGCAGGCTGCAGGGCCAGCCTCTGTCTGTCCGTCTGTCTGTCTGTCCCGGGGCTGGAGAGCTCTTTAGCTGCCTGCAGGCAGGGGAGGGAGGAGATGCCCCTGGGTGTCTCCCCTGCTGGACACTACTGAGGGCCCACGGTGCACCAGGCCGTCCTGGGCACCGGAGCTTTGAAAACTGAGCAGGAACTTCAGCCCCCGTGACGCTGCCCCTGTGGGCACAGCGGTCATCAGTACGGCCGGGTCGGGGAGGGGAGGGGCAGAGCGCGGCGGCCGCCTGCTGCGACGGGACCCTGGGGGTCAGTGACAGTGAGCACAGGTGCACTCACTGGCTCAGGGCGACTCCCAGCCACCCTCTCTGGATCCCGGTCTGCAGGTGGGGAGACTGAGGCGGCACCCCACCCTCGGCCCCCGCTGGCTCACCATCCGACCAGCGCATGGCGTCGTCCAGGGTGCTGGGGACGCCCCTCCACGGGGGGCTCTGGGCCGGGTGGCCAGGGTCCATGCGCCGCGTGTGCTCATCGTAGCGCCAGTACAATTGGCCCTTAAAGAAATAAGTCTTGTCATTGTGGGCCCAGGAGAAGGCAGCGTCGACGCCGCCGGGAGGGAGGCCAAAGTCCGAGACGGGCCGCGGGAATCCTTCCTCTGCGTGGGTGTCCTTGAACACCCAGTATCTGTCTCCTGGGGAGAGAAAGAGCCGGCTGGGCTCAGCCCGCCCGCAGGCGGGGGCTCCAGCCCTGGTGTCCCGCCCGTCACCCCCACGACGCCTCCACCCCACAGGACCCACCAGTCCCGTGAGCCCAAGCCCTGTCCTGCCACCTGCCCCGTGCCTGGCGCCGCCAGCACCCAGGTCCCGAGAAGGCAGCCGCTTCGCAGTCTCGGGAGGCGTCACGGCCCAGGAGATGCCCCGTATCTGCCCTCCCTCCTCCGCTTCTGCCAGGCGGGCCAGGAGCCTCCTGAGGCCGAGACGTGACAGGCGTCCGGCAGGTGTGACCGGACACGCGGGAGCACCTGCAGAAGGCCAGACACCACCCGGAACTTCAGATCTACACGTCACACTTTCCGAGGACGGCTGAGGCGCTCCGGGCACACCCCCGACTCGGACGTGGGTGATTCCAGGTGGGGACGCAGGTCCTCCCCCCGGCTGAGCGACATCAGCCCTGCTGTCCCGGCAAAGGGAAGCACAACATCTAGAAACCTTGGCTGGACAGAGGACCGCAGGAGACGTTTCACTAAAGAACACATGCCAACGGCCACGCGTCACACGGAAAGATGCTCGGCAGCGGTGCCACGAGGGACACGCGCACCAAAGCCGCGGCGACACCATGCTCACCCACCCCGACGGCCACTCGAGACCGAGCGACGCGTGTCGGCAAGGGTGTGCGCCGGGCACGGGGGCGCCGCCTTCGAAAGGGTGGGGTCGTCAGACGAGCACACGCAGAGCGGCCATGGCGCCCAGCCCCGTTCTGTGCCTGCACCTGGAGCGAGCAGGGGCAGGGAGCGATGCCCACACCCGTGTGCACAGCATCAGCCACAGCGGCCAAGAGCTGCACGGAACCCGAGCGTCCTTGAGCGGATGATACGAGGAAGGGAATCCACCTCTGCCTTAAGGATGAATCCTGACGACGTGATGAGTGGAATAAACCACCGAAGGAAAAACAGCGCATGATCCCACCTGCACCAGGGACCTGGAAATGTCAAATTCACGGGGACAGAGAGTAGACGGTGGGTGCCAGGGGCTGCGGGTAGGTTTCATGGGGACAGAGCTTCAGTTTGGGAAGATGACAGAGTCCTGGAGAAGGTGGTGGTGACGGCCACACGGCTGTGAATGTGCTTAATGCCCTTGAGCTGTGTGATCGAATATGGTTAAGACAGGCCGGCCGGTGTGCTCAGTGGGCTGAGCGTTGTCCCAGGCACCAAGAGGTCCCGGTTCGACTCCTGGTCAGGGCACATGCCCAGGTGGTGGGCTCGACCCCCAGTAGGGGGCGTGCAGGAGGCAGCTGATCGATGTTTCTCTCTCACATGGATGTTTCTCTCGCTCCCTTCCTCTCTCTCTAAAAGTCAATCAAAACATATTTTAAAGATAAATAAGTAACAAGCAAAAACGTCCTTTGCGGGAAACTGGAAACGGCGGAAACGCCTGTGAGCGGGAGGTGAAGGCGTCAGGCCCGCGGCCAGGACTGTGAGGCGGGGCGGGTGCCTGGGATGGGGCAGCTGAGTGAACGGCCCCGGGGGCCACGCTCCTGACCCCTCAGACCCGCAGCTGTGGATTCTGTTTTCACGTGTTGAGAAGCAGTCAAGTCCAGAGGACATCCCGACGGCGGCCAGGCCTGGGCAGCGAGACTGAGGTGGACCCACCGTGAGAGGGCTTGGGCCCCGGGCCCCGCACACGGAGGCTGAGCTAGCTGGGCGGGGACAGCGGGATGGCTTCCCTGCGGGGAGTCTGCCCGTGTCCCAGAAGCACAGAAGCCCCTGTGCGGGGTGGGACGGAGGCCAGCAGCCTGGGGCCCCCAGAGCTCCAGGCCCATCCGGCCTCCTCCCCACACTGAAGGTCACTCCCCGGGAGCGGGCCCGAGGGTGGACTGATGTCCCCCGGATGACACACAGGCCTGGACGGGGTCCCCACTGCACGCGAGTCAGCCCCTTGCCCCTGCACTTCCGTCCTGTGTCCTCGCCCCTCCCAGTTCCAGCCTCGTAGCCCTCTCTGCACTCGGCAGGACCTTTTCTGCCCCAGGACCTTTGCACAGGCCGTTGCCTCAGGTTCGCCCAGAATTACTTTCCTCATCGCTTGTGCCTGCTGATCGTGTGCCCCCCCCAGGGCGGGCAGGGCCTCGTGTCTCAGCCCCTGGTCTGTGCAGCGTCTCACAGCGCGGGGCCCAGAGTGGGTGCTCAGCAAACACGCGCTGGCGGGACCCAGGCGGACGGGAAGGTCTCCGCTCTGTGTGCGGAGCGAGCTCAGGCCCCGGGAGCAGCCTGGCAGGGAGCCCACCTTTGAAGAAGACGATCTTGTGGTCGGTGGTGCGCTCGTACACGGCGTCCACGCCGTCCAGGTGCAGCGGCAGGCCACGCCAGAAACGGTGTGTCTGTGCCGGCTGCAGCGACACCAGGTGCCGATCGCGGGTCAGCCGCCAGAAGTACGTGCCTGCGGGCGCAGGGCGGGGCTGCAGGTGGCCGGCCTGGCCCAGGGCACCTGCCCCCCGCGCCGCACCCCTGCGCTACCTTTGAAGAAGAAGGCCTCTCCGCGGATCTGGGCCACCGCGTCGAAGTGAGTGGTGCACCTGTGCGGCACGTCCCTCTGCGTCCTGGGGGGAGAGCAGGCGGAGCCCCAGCCTGAGCCACTGAGGGGCCACCTGAGGGAGCCCACGCGCTCCTGCCGCCGAGACACTAGCAGGCGAGACGGACCCCGGCCAGGTCCGCATCTGAACAGGCCGGCGCTCCAGCTCACGCCCACCGTCCGCGGAAATGCCGGCCATCGTGCGGGGCCCCGCTGTGGCTGTGGCCCTGCCTGAGGGACGGCTCAGGACAGCGTGACGGTGCAAAGTCCAGAACTGAACCGTCGGCAGGACACGGAGCCGAGAACACAGCTGGGCACACGCCCTGCATCCTTGCTCCCGACGGGCCGCAGGCAAGAAGGCGACACACGCCGGGCCCGTCGGACACGTGCGCCCAGTACCGACCTTCTCAGGTGCGTGTGGGGCGCGTACACACACACACACACGCATGCACACGCGCACGGGAGGGCCAGTGGTGCCTTTAGGAGTGTGCACCGTCGCCACGGTAACTTAAGGAACAAGTGGACGGAGAAGGGAGAGCAACCCCTTCAGACCTTAGTGGGCCTCGTGCTGTCCACAGCCAAGTGAGGGAAGCGTCAAACTACACCGAGTGAGCCTCAGTATCCATATGTGAGCTCAGCGCGTGTGGACACGAGGGTGGCACAGAGCAGGCTGAGTAGGCGGTGTGGGGCGGGGCAGGGTGCAGGTGCGGCCTGTGACCCCAGGAGCCCCAAGAGCGGGTGGCTGCTTTAACCCAGGGGCTCCCTAAAGTGGCCTCCAAGGTGGGCAGCATCCCCCTGGATTCGGTCCAGCCCAGCCCTCAGGATGCTTCCTGGGACAAGGCCTGTGGGACTGCAGACTCATGCACAGGCTGCATGCGCGTGCACATGCACACGTGTGTGCGCATGTGTGCACATGCATGTGTGTGCAGGTGCATGCGTGTGCATGTGCATGCGCGTGCCCCAGCCGCACCAGCCCGGCACAGCCCAGGTCTCCCATCTCCCAAGCCCCCCCAGTGACAAGGCCCCTCCACGGTGGAGCGGTGACCCACCCCCCACCCGTCTGAATTCCTGACCCACAGAGTCCCCAGGTTTGGAAAAGGCGGTGGTCTGATATTAGGGGCCAGGGCGCTTGTTACACGTGTGTCAGTGACAGAGACAGAGGCCACAAGGACGTCACACATGTGAATGCAACACCTCTGCCCAGGCTGGGGAGCAGGTGTCCCCCCACTGTCTGGGAGCTGGAAAAGCAAAGCATGGCTCAGGGCTGGGCCCTTCTCAGAGGAGCCTGGAGCCCAGGACACCGAGCCTGCTGGGGTGCAGCGGCAGGGGAGAGGGGCCCATGCTTACGGGGTGCTGGACCGGTTGTCAGGGGGCTCCGGCAGGTGGGGGGGCTCCCTGGGCTCTGTGGAGTCGGGCTGTGCCGTGGGGGACACGGACTCCCGCACGCCTGTGGAGACAGGGGGACTGCATGGAACCCAGAGGGCCCGCCTCCCCCAAATCCCAGCACCCTTCCTGAACCCCGGGTGGACGCCAGCAATGGGCCTGTGCGTGGCCCGGAGCCCAGCACCGACTGTGAGCAGGGACAACCCTGACCGGACCCCGGACAACAGAAGACAGGTGTCCAACCAGAACGCGGTGCTGGGCGCTCACAGCAGCGTGATCCCTGACAGCAGCGCGGGGACGCCCAGGGGCGAGCGGAGGGAGAACCGTCCGCCCTGAGCAGGGACGAAGGACGGATCCCCAGGATGCGGACGGACCTTGCAAACAGGTCGTCCCACGGAAGGAGCGGCCTCGACAGGCCACAGAACTCCCAGAGAAGGCAGAGGGTGGTGGGTGCAGGGAGGACACGGAAGGCAGGGAGAAGGAGACGGGGGTTTCGTCTGGCCTCAGCCGCTCCCAAGACGGCCTCCTCCCGCCCCAGGCCCCACGTGTCTCCAGCAGCGGGCTCTGGGCCACCCCTGGCTGCTGGCTCGGCCTAAGTGGTCACCCTGCCTCAGCTCCCCCCGTTGGTGGGGACACAGCTCCCACTTCACAGGTGCTGTGCACAGGGCCCGGCACGGTCACGCCACCTGTCACCTCTGAGACCCCTGGGGCTCAGACGCAGAGCTGTCCGGGTGAGGCGGGGACACCCGGGGACAGCACAGTGCGTGTTCACTCCATGCACGTGCCCGCCGGGGGGGCGCCTGGTGCTGGGCATGCGGGCTGAGCAGACAGAACTCTACCCCCGCGGGCTCTGCACTGGGGGGCCCCCAGCTTCTGCCCCCCTCTTCGGGAGGCTGTGGGGCTCTGGGGGAGCACTCACCGTACAGCTGCCAGACACGCACCCGGTCTGCGTAGGGGAGCCCGTAGTGCAGCGGGTCGCCCACGGGGCCCTGGTAGTAGGGCTGCATGATGGAGTGCGTGGCCGCCACGTGGCTCAGCCCGATGGCGTGGCCGAACTCATGCACAGCCACGGCGAACAGGTCCATGCCGTGGGCATCTGGGGACACGGGAGGAGTGAGCAGGGGGGGCAGCCGCAGGGACAGGTGAGTACGTGCACAGGCCGGGGTCTGTGGGGTCAGCCACGTGGCGGATACTTTAGGTCACCTGGACCCCAGCCTACAGGGAGGGCTGGAGGGCTCAGGGCCAGGGCTCTCGTAGACTGGGGTGCGGACTCATAGACCGGGGTGTGGACTAATTCCACGAGGCCCCTCCTCCCTGCCCACGTCCTCACCCTGTGCCACGTGGCCGTCCTGGTCCCCTCAGGAGGCCTTGGCGCTTTCTCTACCTTCACAGGGTCAGCGTGGCTCCCTGCCAGTTCCCGGGGTCTGTCGGGACCCCTGGGCTATGCAGGGTCCTGAGGGCTCAGCCCAGACACACCTGAGGACCGGAAGGTCCAGGCCTCGTCATCGTCAAAGTGGGTGTCCCCTGCAGTGTGGTGGTCGCCGGGGAAGAAGGCATGGGCCACGGTGCCGCCGGGGCCATCGAAGGGGTAGCGGTCGTTGTGCTCGGCCTTGGAGAAGTCGATCTGGATGTCGGCGGTGCTGCCGGCCACCTCGTGGAAGTTCAGGGGCGTGATGTCGCTCCAGACCTTGAGGGCGTAGTGCATGAGCGCGCGGACCGTGTCTCGGCCCAGGGACGAGGCCCGCGGGAACGTCCGGACCCTGGGGCGGGCGGGGTTGGAGCCGGGGGTCGGGTCACCCGGACAGGCCAAGTGTCCCCGCCCCAGGCCGGAGTGTGCTCCCTGGGCTGTCCCTCCCGGGCTGGGTGTTGGGGCCCTATTTGGACCTGAGGTTTTGCAGTGCAGTTAAGGCAGGGATTGAGCCCAGACCATCCTGGGAGGGGGTGGGGGGCACTAAATCCACGGAGAGTGTTCCCGCAGAGAGAGGACAACAGACAGAGAGGACGTGGCCATCTGGGGAGGGAGGCGGGGCCTGGAGTGATGGGCGGGGTGGACATAGCCTGGGAGGAGCCCGCCCTGCGACGTGGGACCTTGGACTTCCGGGCCGGAACCGAGGGGGCAAAGCCCTGTGGTCTGGAGCCCCGGTGTGGGTGGCCAGCAGCCCCCGGACACTAAGACCAGGACAGGGAGGCCTTGCACCCACCTCCAGGACAGGTTCCTCTTGCTCCACCGGGTCGGGGCGGGAGCCTGCCGCCGCCTGCGAAAGGGGGCCGCAGCCGGCAGGTCGGGCAGCGAGCAGCGAGGGGTCTTCATCAGCGCCAGGGTGGCCTCGTCTGCAGGCGGGCGGGGGTCAGCGCCAGCCCCCCGAGGGCTGTGACCTCCACCCACGGGTCTGGCGGGGACGGGGTCACTAACGCACGGCAGGGCCCCGACCAGTTCTGCCAACCTCCTGCGTTTCCCGGACACACTTTCTCCCCTCAGGGGCCTGGGGACAGACAGGTTCCCAGCAGCCAGCCCTGGGGGGTCTTCACAAAACTGGAGTTCGTGGCCAGCATGTAAAAAGTGGGGTGTTCACTAACCCCCCGACTTCTGGTTTCTCTTAGAGAGCTGGGAGTTGGGGCAGCACCAGGCTGGCATCTGGAGGGGCAGAAAATGCAGGCCCTGTGGGCATGGAGCCTGCACCCCTGCTGTGCTGTGTGGGCTCTGGGGGGACAGTGCGGGTGGCTACGGAGCGGCTCCCACCTAGCGGGACGCCTTGGCCCTGCCCAGGGACAGCAGGCCTGTCCCTGACCCCACCCTCTGGGGGGTGCAGGCCTGGACGGGAGGGGTGGGGAGAACCCCGCTTCGGGACGGGGCTTTGGGACCCACCCAGGACGCCGGTGGCCTCCAGGCCGGCAAAGCGCTGCATGGCGGCGATGGCCTTGGCCAGCTCCTCCTGCGTCTGCAGCTGCCCAGCGGCAGGGTCTGCGGGGGGCAGGTAGCCGAACCTGCTCAGCCACTCCTGGGCAGAGAGCCGAGTGAGGGGGAGTGGGGGCCCGGCCTGGCCCCTCTCCATCAGCCCACGGGGCCCCTCTGCCCTCCCCTCAGCGGCCGGGTGGAATGTGCCCCCCACAACTGCTGGGGCCGCCTGCCCGCTCACTCGGGGCGGCAGGCGCCCGGGGCGCACGGAAGAGAACCACACTTTAAAAAGTTACTAAACGTGCAAATCCAGGCCCTGCGAGGCAGCCCCTGGGACCCGAGGTCTGGGCCTCACTCAGAAGGGCCCTGGGCCGAGACCCTGTTTTTTTTTTTATCCTCACCCGAGGACATTTTTGCATTTATCTTCAGGTAGAGTGGGAGGGAGGGAGAGAGAGAAACACTGACGTGAAAGAAACACATTGAGCCCTGGCCGGTTTTGCTCAGCGGTTAGAGCGTTGGCCTGTGGTCCAGAGAGACCGGGGTTCGGTTCCCGCTAAGGGCACGTACCTCGGTTGCAGTTTGTCCCTGGCCCTGGTTGGTCGTGCGGGTGGCAGCCACTCGATGTGTCCCTTCACGTCGATGTTTCTCTCTCTCTTCCTCTCTCTCCCTCCCACTCTATCTGTACAAAAAATGGAAAAATGTCCTTGGGTGAGGATAAAAAAAAAAAAAAAAAGAATCACATTGAGTGGTCGCCACCCACACGACCCCAACCAGGGCCGGGGACAAACTGCAACCGAGGTACATGCCCTTAGCAGGAACCGAACCCGGGTCTCTCTGGACCGCAGGCCGACGTTCAGCAACCTCCTTGCTGGACAACCCAGGCGAGTCACTCAACCTCTCTGGGCTGCTCTCTCGCCTGTGGATGTGGGGCAGAGGTGAGAACCACTGACCCCCGGGGTGACCTGCCTGCAAGCTCACTGAGCCGTCCTCGCTCCCTGGGGATAGGATGGTGTGGGGGGGGACAGGGGTTCAGACGAGCTGCTCCCTCCGGCCCCTAGCAGCCTGGCCGGGCGGCCGCCGCGGTCCCAGCCTTCAGAGGCCTCGAGCGAGCGCGGACAGGAGGGCTCAGCTGCAGGTCTGAGTGTCCTCCCCTCTCAGGCCAGGGTGGGGTAGAGCTGAGGGCAGTGGCCACTGGTGCCACCAGGCCTGGGACTCCGCAGTCTACGGTCCCCACTGGGGCCGGACTCTCAGAACAGAGCCCAGTCTGAGGGCTGGGGTCTGACCCTACAGCTCAGACATCCCAACACCCTGTGCAGACACCTCTCCCGACGGACGACGCGCATCACACAGCTCATCACACAGGTCATCGCCCCCCCTCCACCCAGACCGAGGCCTCTGCAGCGGTGGTGGTGGGCGTCTGGGCCCAGCAGCAGCAAAGGAGCAGCCCCCAGCTCGCCAGGGGAGACCCCGAGGACGGTGTAACAGCAGGGCAGGCCCCTGGCAGGTCTGGGGGCACGCTGGCAGCCCCACCCTCAGGTGGACACACGGGGCAGGTGGGGGGCCTGCCGAGACCACGGAGCCCCCAACACGAAGCCGTCATTCATGATGGGGAGGAGCAGTCAGCCCCACTGAGCCAGGAAGGGCAGAGAGGGGCCATGGGGATGGGCACCTGAAACAGCCCGCCCCCCGGTTGCAGCTCACCCCAAATTGCCAAATGGCTGAGGTTTACATTGTTTTCCTGGAAGTTGATACATTTTCAACATCAGAGGCGGCCAGGGGCCGGGAGGAGCGGGACGCCCAGATGCCAGGGGAGAGCCCGTCCTCGGGCTGTGGTCCCGCCAGGGCAGCAGTGCCTGCAGCCTCCAGGAGCCAAGGCAGCCCCTCCCCCAAGGACGCAGTCACCCCACCCCCACAGGCTGTGGTCTGCCCCGCCCCCAACACCTGGGAGCCCACAGGTCCCACAGGTGGGGGGCATCCCCTCCCTGCACACCCACGGACCTCCCCCACCTCCCCACTCTATCACCAAGGCGCCTGCACGTCTCCAGGGCAACAGGCTGCGCGGGAGGGTGGTGCCGAGCCTTCCAGAAGGCCAGAGGGGGCGGGGCTGCCAGCAGGGGGCGGGGGCGGGGGAGAGGTGCCAACCCACAAGGCCAACCTCCAAGGAGCCCCTCCCCCAGCTGAGCCAGTGTGCAGATAGGGAAACTGAGGCCCGGGAAGGGGGACCCCACCGCCTGGCTCACTGCCAGCCTTCCCACGTGCTCCCCCGAGCCCCTGGGTTCACACGGGTCACCGGTGGGCAGGTGGCACCAGGTGTGGCCGTGCTGGGCGCCAGCAGGTGTGCGGTGGCCCCGTAACCGCCCTGGGTGGCTGTCAGTGCATTTCCAGGGGTGCCGCCACCACACGGGGCAGCGCTGGCGGTCCGTCCGCCACAGGTGCCCGTCACGCCAGCCACTGGTAGTCAAGAGGGGCTCACTGTGCGCCCGCCTCAGGCAGCCCTGTCCTTGCCACTTACACGTGGGGGAGGAGGGCCCAGGAGACAGCCCAGCGGCGCCCTCCCCGCTGGGGGAGGAAGCCAGCCTCGGACGCACGCTGGCCGGGCCAGGTGGGGGCACGCGGCTGCCCTCCCTGCCACGGTGCCGTGGGCTGGCCCTGGCCCGGGCTTTGGCAGCTCCTTGGGGACCTTGGGGACAGATGGCTGAACTGTCAGCCACCTTCCAGCTCCAACTGGGCTCCACCAGCCCGGCACCACCCACTGTGCAGACGAGGAAACTGAGGCCCAGCTCAGAGCAGGCCGGCACCTGCTCTGTCGGCTCTTCGCCCTCTGCAGCTGGGGTGCCCTCCCCTCCATGCACAGCTGAGGAAACTGAGGCCATAATCACTGACGGAACTGCTGGCTGTGGGGGTGATCCCGTGGCGGTCCCCAACACACCCTTAGCAAGTGCCCCTGTGACAGCAAAGACCGGGGGAGACCCCGCCTGCCATCCTCCGGAGTGGACAGAGACCCACGGCAAACAAATGAAGCGATTACTTCACAGTCACTGCAATGAGGGGTCCTGACAGTGGGCGTGGTCGACCCTTTCCCTTCGCTGACCTGCCCCCGGCTCACCGACCGGGGGGACAGCTGTGTGGGAACAGGGTGCACGTCTGTGGCGTTCATTTGTGCTTGGCACACAGCAGCTGCTCAGGGAAAAACCGCTGGGCCAGTGAGGCGGCACTGTGACCCCATTTTACAGAAGAGGAAACGGAGGTGCTGACAGGTTAGGTCACACAGTGAACCCAGGCTGTCTGGCTGCGGAGCCTGTCCGTAACCACTGTGCTAGGGTGGGAAGTGAGGCCACCGGAGCAGGTGCTCGGGGACCACATCCCCGGGGGTGACCTGAGGGAGCTGGCCAGGTGCCTAGCAGCTTGTGCAAAGGCCCTGGGGCAGGGCCCGTCTGGGAAGTCCAGGGAGCAGACAGAGGGCGGAACAGCCCTGAGAATCTGCCTGTCTCTGCATCCTGTCCAAACCAGCCTGGTCCCCGAGAGCGGGGGGAGCTGGAGAGCAGCCCGGCGGCCGTCAGCTAACGAGTGACAGACACGTCACCCTCAGTGCGCATTTCTGGAAGGCCAGGTTGCCATCAACGGAGACAGAAATCAGATGCTCAAGCACCCTGGGCAGGCCCTGAGGACGGCAGTGCGTCAGGGAACACTGCGGAGCCCCAAGACCTCGCAGCCTTCCCCTCAGACGCGACGCTCCCCGAGCCATCCCAGGCAGCACCCCACGGCCCCTCTCATGGCCCCACTGAGCAGACGAGCACACTGAGGCCGGCGAGCAGCAGCCTGGGGTCCCCACCACGAGAGGACTGGGCACCCTCCCCGCTCAACCACAGGCGCCCGGCATGGTCCTGCCCAGGCCACACTGGCTCCCACACCAAAGCCCACAAAGACTTCTCAGTCCCTCCGCCTGGCCGCCCGCCCGGAGCCTTGTCACTTGTTGGCGGTGCCTGGGGGTGGGAGGGGCCGAGGAGCAGGCTGGGGGTCCTCAGACATCAGCAGAGGGACACTCCGCTCCCCGTTAACCCTTCCCAGCTCTCTAGCTCTTGGCTGAGGGCAGGTGGCTGGTTTCTCCACTGCGGCTGTGAAGGATACGCCTGGCCCCCTGCCAGGTCCATGACTCAACCCTGAGCCCGCAGAGGGTCCATGGCTCCCTGGGTGCCGGGGCCAGAGGCCACAGGCCGAGGCCAGGGTGAGGGGGTGACTGTCAGCTCGGTCACCCCCACTCCGTGCTGGCCCCAGGTGGGGGGCAGGGTGTTCCCAGCGAGGTCCTGGCTCCCGGTCACCATCATCCCCTGCTCAGTCCCTGGGAGCTGCTGGGTCAGCGGGGGTGACACTCATCCCAGCCACCCTCACACGCGATCTCAGCTACAAGCCCCGTGGCCCATCTGCGTGATGCGAGGTGATGAGGACTCAGACTTGCTGGGAGCGACACCTTTGAGGGCATGTTGGGAAATCTGCCCGCAGGGCACACGCCGGCACGTCAGGCCTGTCGCCCAGGCCCCCGGCAGGGCCCGGGTCCTCGTGTCCCGGCCTGCACCTGGCCAAGGGTGTGACATCGTGCAGTGACCTGGTGGGACAGCTGGAGACGTCTGGCCAGGCTGTGCTCCAGGACAGACTGCGAGGTGGGGACAGCAGGCCCACAACAGTGGTGGCAGGTTGTCCTCCGTGAACACTAGGGGCTGAGGTCCTGGCGCCCGGACACTTCTGGAAGGCCCAGGGGAAGAGGGGAGGAGGGGGACGCGGTCCTTCCCCTGTGGCCCAAGTATTTTGCTCTGGGCCAGGAGGGCACTGCACAGACCCTTTTTCCCACACCAATGGGCTGACAGTCACCATCAGCCGGGGGGCAGTGGCCTCAGTCCGGCTTTGTCCCCAGCTAAAGCCAGTGGGCTGGGCTGGGGGAGCCCCTCCAGGGACCCACCTCTCAGGACCCAAGGGCTCAGCTCTGTCTGGATGATGCTGGGGCCCTTCTCCTGCCTGGTGGCCAGACCGGAGCATCCAGTCAGTGGGTCCCGGGGGGCGGTATTCAGAGGGAGCAGGAAGGAGTCCCTGCTCCCCATAAATCCTGGGTGTCCCGAAGCCCTCTTGCAACTCTGGGGTTCAGGCTCTGAGGTGTCATTCCCACAAAAGCCACCAGAGGGCACCCTCTGCTCACAAACCAGGGTCAAGAGGCAGGACGGCCTCTCCCACACCAGGCGGGAGGGTCCTGGCCTCCTTGGGGTGGGGCTCTCCTAGCAAGGGCAGCACCCTCTGCTCTCCCCACTGGGCTAGACGCCAGGGCCCTGCTGTCTCTCTGCTCCAGGCTGGGAGCCAGGTCCCCTCTCCAGCACATCCCACAGGGTGCAGGACCTGTGACCCGCTGGGTGCTGGGGAACCCATGGGAGCAGGGGGAGGAGCTGCCCCGGCTGGAGCTGGGAGGAGGAGCTGCCCGGCCGGACCTGGAGGAGTGTGCCTGACCGCTCTCTGCTCGGGCGCAGGGAGAAACTTCAGAACTGCCCTGGATCTGATGAACGAACTTGACCGGGTCGGAGCTCCATCCCCTGATTGTGAGCCCCGTTAGCCTTCTAGGCCTGGGTTCTCTGTCCCTCAGCCCAGAACAGGAAACACAATGTCCCCAGAGCATGTGCCCCAGCAGGAGACCCCCAGCTCGAAAGAACCCAGAGGAGGTGGGTGCAGCCACACGATCTCAGAGGCATTTGGCTGGGAAGAAGCCAGCCGTGGGGCCCCTCGAACGTCTGTATGCAGGGGCTCTGGCTGCACCCTCTGGACGGTTTCACCGGCTGGGCAGCCAGAGCCTGTTTCTCATCTAGAACCTGTGGCCAAGTCCTGCCAAGCAGGAGTGGCAGATGCCCCCCAAATGTCCCGCCTGCCTGAAATCCACCTGGAGCTCCCCGTGTCAATGGCCTTGGGAGAGGGGCCCCCAGCTCCCCTTTAGGAGACTGCTGGTGGATGTGGGCCACGTGGGGGGCACAGCGCGGAGGGCCCTGGTCCGGGTGCCCGTCTGAGCACAGCAAGGGCAGCTGCAGGGGTGGAAACCTCAGAAGGAATCTGCTTAATGCACCTGCGCCTGGCCTCGCAGGGGTGGCAGACCCCTGTCGTCTGATCCACATCTCCCAGGTCCAGAGGAGGCTCCAAGCCTGGTGGGCTGCACGGAGGAGGGGCTGTGAAGAGGCCCCTGCTGCCGCCTCCAGTTCGGCTCCCAAGCCAGTGGGACAGCTGGCGTTGGAGGACGTGGGCGCTGGGGAAGGCGGTGGGGCTGCATCCGAGCCTGGGACCGGCAGGGGGACCCCACCACGCTCAGGTCAGAGACACGGGGGCGGCAGGGCAGGGTTGGGCGCCCTGGCAGTGGAAGTAGAGGTGACGCAGGGCCAAGATCCATGCCCAGTAGGGGGCTGGGGGCCGGCTCCCACGCTCCCCAACACCTTCTACCCCAACTCGAGAATCACCGGCGTTCCGGGCGCCCACACTCCGCAGCCCCGGCCTTTCCTCGGTTGTGGGTGCGCGCCCCTCTCCCGGCCTCCCGCGGGAACGCACGCGGGGCGCATTTCTTTCTCCCTGTGCAACGCCTGTCCCACCCGCCTAGGGTCCCCCTTTGGGGCCGCTCCGAACCGGGGGTGGGGTTCAGGTCAGGCGACCCCCGGCGTCCCTCCGCAGGCTCCAGCGGCTGCGGCGCGCTCCGAGCGCACGGGGCGGGGAAGGGACCTGCGCCTGATCCCAGACCCGGTGCGCGCGCGTCCGGCACTCGGCCCGGCGCCGCCTTAGCTTTGCTGCCCGGGAAATGGGTCGAGGGCGCCCGGTGGGTCCGCCCGCCCGGGGCCGCCTCGCGGCTGCGCACTCACCACCCCCAAGCTGAGGTCCTCGGCGCGGGGCGCGGGCGCGGCGCAGCCCCCGCGGGCCGCCAGCGCGAGCAGCAGCAGCGGCAGCGGCAGCGGCGGGGCCCGGGCCCGGGGGCGCGGCGGGTCAGGCATCGCGCTCACGGGGCGAACGGCGTGGACGTCCCCGCGCCCCACGTCCTGAGCGCCCGGCGCTCTGCTCCCGGCCGACTGAGCCGCCCAGCGGAGGGGCGGGGCGGGGCATGCTAATGTATGCTAATACCGCCGGCCTCGCGCCCCGCCCACCGCCTTAAAGGGCCCGCGCCCCGCGGGGATGTTCGGAATCCCTCGCGTCCACGGAGCGAGTCCACTAGGGGCGGGCTGATGGGGCCGGAAGGAAGGACTTTGCCAAGTGGCCCCAGGCGGTCCCGGGCGGGTGGGCGCAGACTCCGGGGGCCAGCCCCCCTTCCCCCAACAAGCAGACCCTGGCTCCCGCCCAGACCCCGCGAGGCAGCCGGGCTCCCAGAGGACGCAAGGTGGAGCCCTTGCTCCGCAGCGGTGGGGGTGGGGCGGGGGCTGGGTCCGAGGGGGGCTGGAGGAGCGTGGGAGGTGGTGGGATGGGGGGGCACTGTCCGGAGGGTTTCCTCCTGGGGCACCCGGAGTCTGCTGGGGTCAGCGAGGGCAGAGTCTGTGGTCACCGGGTTTGGGGAGGGTAGTTCGCGTGTGCCCAGCGCATGCTCAGAGCCTCCCGTACACAATCCCATTGACTTCTCACGACATCCTGACTTAAAGTATTAGTCCCGTTTCGAACGAGGAAACTGGGGCCCAGAGAAGTCAAGTGACTTGCTGGAGGTCACGGAGCCAAAGGGTCTTGGGCAGGCCGCGCCCACACCCGCCCGGCTGCCGCTGCCCCCTCCCCGGTCACCGCTGCTGTCAGGGGTGAAGTCCCATTCCACGGACAGGGAAACTGAGGCCCCGGCACTGCTGCACCTGCCGCGGTCCCGGGGGGCGAGGCACAGCCCGAGTTTGCTCACGTGCACGGACAGCTCCGCTGCCGCCACAGACCCAGCTCGCCCGGCCTGGCGTCCAGGGAAGGGGATTTATGGGCTCATTAAACGGGAGCCTCCCAGAGCGCCGACGTCAGGGGAGGCTGGGTCAGGTCTCTCCTTCTCCGCGCCGGCTTCTCCTCCGGATCCCCGCCCAGCCCTTTCCAGCCCCCCCACGGCCGTCTGTCATTGGATGATGAGGACCATGTGTCCATTCCTGAACCAACCACGTGGCTGTGAGACGAAGTGAGCCCCACTATGAGCACTGACCTGGGAAGGAAGAGGTTTGCTAAAGAAAGTGGAGGTGCTGTGCTGGAGGCAGTGGCAGGGAGGTGGGTGGCAGGCAGGGCTGGATCAAGGGGCTCAGCGGGTGCTCTAGTGGTTCAGAGGGAACTCTGGCTGTGGGCTGTACGAGGCCCTGGGGCGGGATGGACATTGGAGGGTGGTGGTGAGAAGTGCTTGCAGCCATGGCCTAGGGCCACAGACACGGGAAGGGTCAGACAGGCCAGGTCTCCCCAGGTAGGCTCAGGTGGTGGCTGGTGAATGGGGGGAACCAGGCCGTCAGAAGAGTCACTTCATGGAGGGCCTCTGGCACCACAGCTGTTTTCACTCAACCTGCCACTGAAACTGTTCGAACGTGGCCAGACTCTCTACCTGTCAGATGGCGACGTTGGAGTTGCATGTTGTCATGTGCCCAGGAGGGCATGACAGCGAGGCCCGGTGCCACTGGAGCACCAGCTACTAGAGCACCAGCTACTGGAACACCCCAGTGCTACTGGAGCACCAGCTACTGGAACACCAGCTACTGGAACACCCCAGTGCTACTGGAGCACCAGCTACTGGAGTACCCAGGTGCCACTGGAGTACCAGCTACTGGAGTACCCAGGTGCCACTGGAGCACCAGCTCCTGGAGCACCAGCTACTGGAGTACTCCGGTGCTACTGGAGCACAGTTGGCACAGCCTTGCTCCTTACCCAGGAGCAGCCATTACAATGTAAGTGTGTTCCCTGTGGCCCAGCACTCTCAGCCCCAGAAAACAGCCGCCTTCAGGAGGCAAGTGCCTGATGGGAGAGTAAACAGATCGGAAACTCCTCCAGCGTCCACCCAGGGCTTGCTGCTGGGCGTCCCACCGGAGACCAGGAGCCTTCCCCAAACCCTCAGTCGCCGTGGAAGCTGTGGCTGCCTGGGACCGAGCACACGGGACATGCCCGAGACGGACGGCACTGGAGTTGGAGACGACTGGATCCAGGCAGCCCGACGGCTGCAGACATGCTGCTGAGTGACACCGAGAAAAGTAGACACACACAGGACAGCTGTGCTCACACCCACATGCACAGACGGGTCATGTCTTCTGAGCCCCCACGTAGCCTCGCCCGCTAGCCACTCTCCCTGACTTCAATTCCCCGTGTTATTCTTAAAAAATAAATTTTTTAATTGACTTTAGAGAGAGAGGAAGGGAGGAGATAAAAACATCGATGAGAGAGAATGACAACTGGCCACCTCCTGCACGCCCCCCACTGGGGAGCAGGCACACAACCTGGGCATGTGCCCTGACTGGGAATCGAACCGGTGACCTCTTGGTGCGTGGACTGATGCTCAGCCACTAAGCCACACCGGCTGGGCACCCCCAATTTTCTTTAGAAAAACCCCACTTTGTCCCTGGCAGCCCCTAGAGCACAGAACCCAGGTATGAATGGCTCATTTTCATTCCCTGGCCACAGGCTTGGTTCAGGGACGGACCCACAACCCACCTCCTGCAAGAGACAGTCCTGAGCTGCGACTTGAACTGTATCGGTCTCTGCAGGCTGGGCTGGCTAAGCTCACGGGGTGAGGGCGGTGGCTTCCCTGCACTGCGTGTCCGTGCGTGTCCGTGCACACACTTGTGTGTGAAGGCTGAGGACAGGCCTGGAGAAGACGCACTGCAGCGTGGCGGTGACATCAGCACGATGTGCAGCCTGGGGCCCAAGCCGCCCGTCTCCTGACCCCATCCAGGTGTGACCACGCCACCCCTCCACCTGGTGCGTGTGAGCCCAGTGGCAGGCAGAACACGCTGAAACACGAGCCAAACAAGGAAGGAACCGCCGCAGTCTGTAGCTAGAAAAGGTGTTTTCTTCCTTTTTATGTGATAATACATTTTCACAGAAACATGATATTATTTACAAATATACAGGTAAGAGACTGCTGGTCAGAAATCTTAAACTGAAAATGTCAAAAATGAATGTACAAAACCACCACTGTCCACGGACACCGGGCGTGTGGACGACACTCCGTGAGGTCCATGCACGGTGAGCCCAAGCCCACAGCGCCGCCACCCCGTCTCAGGAGGCACTGGTCTGCATGTTTTTGGAAGCGGCGAGCATCGCCCTGACTTTGGCCATGAGGTCCTGTGGGGAGACAGGGGAGGGGTCTGAGCTCAGCACGTGGGAGGAGCCAGGAGGAGTCCCGCGCAGGAATTTATGGAAACGCGGGTGGGCGGAGCCTGAGGACGACCTGGGGAGACCTGGTGTGTGGCTGTGAGCATGTCCCCACTCGGGCCTGTGGGCGGCAGGCTCCCAGGCCACACGGTGACCCTCGGGGTCGGGCGGCCCAGCGAAGGGAGGTCTGGGGGGTGGACGGGGGCTGTGCCCGCTGTACCTGAGTGATCTTGCTCTGCACAGAAGAGACGATGGCGGAGGAGATCTGGGCCTCCTTTTCCTGAGAGACGCCCCTGCACAGAGAGCAGAGGCTCAGAGACACTCCCAGACGCACGAGCAGGAGCGAGCGACTGCGCTTCCAACGCCCTCCTGAACCCGGGCAGCAGTCCCCAGAGCCACCCCCTGGGCACGGGCGTCGCTCCGGCCTGGCTGTGCTTGTTGGAGGCGACGTGTGGAGAGGGTCCGTCCCGCCACATGCTGCCCGCCCCACCCCGGGCACCAGCGAGAGCAGGAGCAGGACGAGGTCGCACTGGCGACCAGAAGCCCTTCCCTGGCGTCAGACTCGTATCCTCTGGTGGACGCAGGCGGCCCACCCACCCGCCAGGCTCTGACCTACGGGGTGTGCGGGTGGAGGCCAGTCTGTGCCTCCACTGCCCAAGGGGGGGGGTGCGGGGAGCAGGGTCCTCCTGAGGTACCTGGAGCGCTCCTGGCTGGAGCCCCGACTCTCCACAGGAGAGATGCTGGCCGAGTGTGCCGAGTGCCGGCGCGGGGCCTGCTTGCTCGGGGATGCGGAGCGGGACTCGGCCTTGGACTTGGTCCGCGATCGTGAGCGCCTCTTCTTCTTCTTCTCGTGGGGGCTTCTGAAAGGAAGGAGTCAGACAGAGGTGGCGGCTCTGAGGGAGACGTGGTGTCCCCACGCACAGCCCGCGTTCCCCCTTCTACACTCGTCAGGCCGTCGACAGCTCCCCAGCCCGCAGGAGGGGTGAGCAGGCCCCTCTGCAGGGTCTGCCCCACCTGCACTCGGTCCTGACCCCGAGGCGGCCACGCGCTGCTCACCTGTGCTGACTCAGTGAGCGTCTGCGACAGGAAACGGTGCCATTAACATCAGGCACCCTCCCCACCCTCCTGAGCCAACATGTCGCCGAGTCGCTTGGGGCAGCAGCCCTGCCCGCACCTCTGCCCTCGGATGATACCGCAGGTCAACGGCACCTCGCCTGCCTGCCAGCCTCCCCCTCCCAGGAAAGACGGAGAGAAACCATGGGAGGTCGGGGGCACCGACTCCCTTCTGCTCTCCCCTCCCCTCCTCTGGAGACGCCACCTGCTACCTGCCTTCCAGGAGCCCGCCCACCAGCCCGCCAATCTTGTGAAGGGTCTCTGCTTAGACACGGCGTCGCCAATTGGTCACCCGCACCCGTTTCTCAGTCTTGCTGCTCTGCCCAGGCTGCCCCGTGTGCCCTGAGCCAGGGCAGGACGCGTACCTTGGGAGATGCCCCGTTACAGCGCTGCCATGCGGTCCCCTGTCGGTGTGGGAGGGGGGACTGGTCTCGCTAAAGCCTGGACTTGTGTTCCCAGGACTGCTCTGAACCCAGCCTCCGGGTCACACCACACACCTCTCTGGGCTCAGCACAGAGCCCGCCTCATCCCTGGTGTGGCCACGCCCTACACATTGCCCCTCCCCCTCCATCAGTGCCTGGGGCCATGCTGGTCACGTGTCCATGCCCACGGGCACTGGGCCCTGAGAAACTGGCGGCCAGATTTCAGTCAGGTTCCTGTGCAGGTGGCGCCAGTAGGCCCGGCCGGGACATCAGCTCAGCACCACCAAGAGGGATCGGCCAGGGTGGCAGCTCGGCACCCAAATCCCACCACGGGAAGTGGCAGACCCTGGGGTCAAGGGCGGGTGGCTCCAGAAAGCGCAGGTGCCAGTGCGCAAGCGGGCGGGGTCTACGCAGCAAAAGGAACAAAGCCCGTGGCATGTGACTCGAGCCTGGCCCCTGACGCGGTTTCTGTGAGCCAGCGTGAGCTGACGGAGAACCAGGTTCAATCGCGCTGCGGTTTGGTCTAGTGACAAACTCTGAGCATTCGCTTAAGAAGATGAGTATCCGTGGGGATCCGAGCTCCAGTGGACACTGACACCGCGGACAGCACCCAACTCCACACACGGTGTCTCCGACAGACAACCTGCGATGAGGCTCAGTCCGTGAAGCAGGCACAGAAGGTGGACAACCTGCGGGTGGGGTGTGCGCAGTGTGCAGACCCGGGACAAAGGGACGGTCTCCTGGGGGGGGGGGCAGCCGAGATCCCACCATGCTCCTATCGAATCTGATCGTGAACATCCGTCACCACACATCCCTCCCTGCTGCTCCGCACCGCACCCTCCCACCCTCCAGGTGGCACTGCTCTGGCTCCCACAAAGCTCCCCACCCGGGGTCACCCCGCATCCCTCTTCCGTGTCTGGCTCCTCTTGCTCCATCTGTCCTGTTCGCCGAGCAGAATAGAATGTGACACACACTGCACGGATGTCCGGGCTCGGTCAGGCTCCTCCCCCGTCAGCGCACTGCGGGCTGCCCCGGCTCCTGGCGACGACAGACCCAGCCGCTCCATGGCCAGCTGGCGGAGTCCCTGGGACTGGATGGCTGGGCCAGAGCAGCACATGTCCAAGTTGCAAAGCCGCCACCAGACTGCGCCCAGTGGTCAGACCACTTTACATTCCACGAGCTGCAACTCAGTGGCCCGGCCATCCAGTCCTCGTCAGCACCCGGTCCTGCCCGCCACGCTGGTTCCAGCCCTTCACGCAGGGACAAACAGCATCTCACTGCAGTTCAGCCTGCGTTTCCCTGACAGGCGGGCGGATGGCGCTGTGCTGCTTCAATGCACTCTCTCACGAAAGGGCGTTCGAGCCGCCTGCCCGTCCTGACTGTTGTGCGCTTCTACCAGCCAGGGCCTGTCCACTTTCTTCCCGTGCCTTCTGATGCTTTTAAGTCCAGCACAATCTTCTCTCCTCGTGGGTTTTCCGCACGCTCGGGCATCTCCGCCCCCCGGGGTCAGGAAGCCCGTGGAGAAGACTCCTCCCTGGGAGGCTCTGGCTTGGTCTTCTCAAGGCGGACACCACACAGCGTCCCGTCACTGCGTTTCCCGGCGAGTCCTGACTTGGTGTAAGAGTCTCCGGTTTTCTTCTTTTTTGAGACTGTCTCAGCACCTGAGTTTCAGTCTGGCAACTTCCACCAAGAGCCCTGGGCACTGTGACGGGGAGGCCGAGGGGCACCAAGCCTTCCGAGTGAACATGGACCCTCTGCATCTATTGTTTCTGAAACTTCCCTGAAATGTCTCAGTGCAGAGGAGCTCACACACACGTCCTCACACTCAAACGTCCTCACACCGTGTCCTCACACCCACGTCCACACCCACACACACGTCCTCACACCCACACCCACGTCCTCACACACACGTCCTCACACCCACACACACTGTCCACACACACACGTCCTCACACCCACACACACTATCCTACACCCACACACTGTCCTCACACCCACACAGTCCTCACACCCACGTCCTCACACCCACACACACTGTCCTCACACCCACGTCCTCACACCCACACAGTCCTCACACAAAAACGTCCTCACACCCACTTCCCACACTCGTCCGTCAGTCGCCTGTTTTGCGGCTGTCGAGGACGGTGTCCTGAGCTCTCCCCAGCTGTCCTAGGCCAGCGTGCAGAGTCCCCGTCTCCTCCGATCGCCAGCCTCCCCCCGCCGTGGCCTTGGCTGTGGATTCTCGCACAGCACACTCTCCTGCCTCGTCTGACGCCGGGCAAGCACGCTCTCGTGGTGATGGCAGTGGTGTGGGTGGCAGGTTCTCAGAGATGCCGTCAGGTGGAGGGCGCCTGCTCCCAGCCGTTTGCAAGCACCTCCCCTTCCCTGTTTGAAGGGGGTGAACCGTGTCTGACACTTCTCTGCATCTACTGAGACGTGACAGGATTTCCTGAAGCCACGCTGAGCACAGCGAGTCATGGCTGTTTCGGTGCTGAAGCTTCTTGCGCTCTGGAGACGACCCATGTGGTCACGACGTGCTGTCCGCACACGGGACTGCGGCCAGCTCGTGCTCCGCTGTGGGCTCCTGCATCTGTGCACATCCACACGCGTGCGCACACGGCCACGGCCTCAGGAGGGAGCTGCGGTGTCCTTGTGCTTTTCCTTCCAAGACCGTCTAAGACTGGCCCCCCCTCGAATGTCTGAGACCGGCCGGGGGAGCCGTCGGCCTGCAGCCCTTGGAAAGGTCTGAAGTGAGCCGACCGCTGCCCGTCACCCATGACGCTGCTCCAACGGCACTCCGCTGCCGCCAGCTCGCGGGCCCTCTCGCGGAGTCTGCCTCTCACCCAAGTGTCGAATGAACTGCAGCAACTTGTGCCTCCTCACTACTGTCTGTAGGGCCGTTCATTCAGGTGAGGCCAAATACGTATTTATCAGTTTTTTCATTTTTATTTATTTATTTATCCTCAACTGAGGACATTTTTCCTTTTGTTCAGATAGAGTGGGAGGGAGAGAGAGGAAGAGAGAGAGAAACATCGACGTGAAAGGGACACATCGAGTGGCTGCCACCCGCACAACCCAACCAGGGCTGGGGACAAACCGCAACCGAGGTACATGCCCTTAGCGGGAACCGAACCCGGGTCTCTCTGGACTGCAGGCTGACGCTCTAACCACTGAGCAAAACTGGCCAGGGCACATTTTTAAATCATTTTTAAAGAACTATCTTTTAGTTTTACTATTTTCCTCTGTTAACCTGTATTCTGTTGATTTCTGATCTGATCTTTGTTATGAACTTGCTTCTGCTCACTTTGCGTTTAGCTTGGCCCTTTTCTAGCTGATTATTGACCTTTTCTCTCTCCTAATATAAACACATAAAGCAACTTCCTTTCAGAACGGCTCCTCCTTGAGGCTGCTGGACTCAAGCCTTGTGCACAGCAGGAGGAGGTGGCTGGTTTGTCCCAGAGCAGTGACCTCACACTCGAAGTTGGGGACTGGTGCTCTGGAAGGCCCTGGCCCTGAGTGCCAGGACGCGCACTGGGGAGCACAGCACCACGGTGTCAAGGCTCGGGGCACAGTCACGCTTTTTCTGGACCTGTCCCCGGACTGCGACGCTCCTGGCCAACCAGCCAGAGCCAGGGCCACGCTAACTCCCTGTGGGGACGAGGAAGGCGAGGACCCCTCACAAGCCGAGTGACACAGAAAGCACAGCATGGTCTCCACATGCGCCCTGGGTGGAACAGGAAATGTCCACCAGTGACAGAAATGGGAGCCGCCGTCAATGGCCACACTCCCGGCTCGGCCCACAGGCTCGAGATGCCTGGTGCATCCCATCAAGTCAGTGGTGCCCAGGCCTCCAGTGACGGGCCAGCCCCTCGGCACCTGCTGTGGGTCAGAGGCCCAGACCAGGCGGGACAGCGGGGCTCCCACTTTAACAGACACGGGCTGGCTTCCCTCGTGCTACCCCCGGTGGCCCAGGGGCAGGAGGGACAGGCCCATAAGGACTGTGTGCCAAGTGCTGGGGGCTGTCGCTGTGGCCTGGGCATCATCACCTGGTGGAGTTTGAGACGCGAACCTCTGATTTTCCTTGTCAACAGGTAAAGAGAAGTGTGTGGCCTGGAGGGGCAGCTGGATTTGGGGACTGGTGCTGAGGACACGTGACCCGGGCAGGCTCTGCACAAGCCCAGTGGGACAGGCCTGCCGCCCAGACTCAGCTGCCGGAGCGCTCCCCTGCTCCGGGCCCACAGTGACACAGAGCCCGTGTCCGCCAAAGCAACGGCTTCCGTGATGACCTGCAGCCCGTTTTAGAAACGCAGCCCCTCCCAAGTCCCACCCTGTATGTGGAGACGCAGGTGCCTACCTGGATCGAGTCCGCTTCCTGCTGACACCGGGGCTGTTGCTCACCCGGTAGGCAGTGGGAACGCTTCTTTCTTCCCTCCGTCTCTCGGGAGAGTGAGCTCTTCTCCGAGGGGACCGGGACCTGTGCAGAGGCACAGGCATGTCAGTCTGGCCACAGGGCAGCGATGGGACCTGCCGGAGGCCGCCCAGAGCCATCTCTGCAACGCGGGACCTCAGCCAGCATACGGCTCACTCTGTGGCGGGAGCTCTGTTGCCGGCCCAGCGGGCACGGCCCAGCGGGTACAGCCCGACAGGCCTGCAGCCTCCCTTCCTGCCCCTGCCCTTCACCTCCCTGAGGAACCTTCCGCTCACTGCCACTTTTTTTTTTTGTTATCCTCACCCGAGGACAGTTTTCCATTTTTTGTTCAGATAGGGTGGGAGGGAGAGAGAGAGAGAGAGAAACATCGACGTGAAAGGGACACATCGAGTGGCTGCCACCCGCATGACTAACCAGGACCGGGGACAAACTGCAACCGAGGTACGTGCCCTTAGCAGGAACCGAACCCGGGTCTCTCTGGACCACAGGCCGACGCTCTAACCACTGAGCCAAACCAGCCAGGGCTCACCGCCACTTCTATCAAAGTTGGGCAATGCAACCCAAGCGAGTCGCAGCAACAGGAAGACACGTAAAGGTAAGGAAGGCAGAGGGTTACCTGGAAGTTTTTCCTGTTCACAAGGAACTCACGGCCTCTGAGCTCGAATAACCAAGGACGAGGCTGCATGAAGCCCAAGCTCCCGCCCAGTTCTGAGCACAGCCTCTCGGTACTGGGCGAGGAACTGACGGCCACGGCCCCCTAGTAGCCTTCCCACGTCCTCTCAGGCGCCGGGAGGACTCTGCCCGCCCCGTGGTGGCACGGCCCCTGCATAGCCCACGGCTCCCTCGAGGTCACGTCCTTAACAGAGGCCCTTGCCCGATGGGCTCAGGGCCCTTCATTTAGTTTTTTGTTCATTCAGTGAAATCACTGTTTTGGGAAGATCTGCAGTAAGCAAAATCTGGGGGGGAAAAGACCAGTTTCTTTCTGTTCTGTTTCTATGACAACCCACTCAAAAAACAATCAGAAAGAGCAGTTTGATTCTGGCAGTTTAGAAATTCCACACTGAACCACCGTTGTTACAGCCCCCCGGCCACACTGTCGTCTGGAGATCAGCCAGAGCCGCATCTGGAGCTGCTCCGGGCAGGTCCCTCCAGCTGAGCTGCTCACCAGTCAGCACATGGCTCTGCCCCCCGCCCCCACCTTCCTGAAGATTCACAAGATCACAAAGGTGATGAGGTCGCTGCCCTGCTCTGTGGCTGCGCGAGCGGCTGCGCCAGGCACCGAGCCCCCGGGAGGCTGTGGGCCCGACACCAGCACACGCTCCTCACTCCCGCAGAGCTCTGCCACGACCTCGCGTGAGGAACGCACTCGCTCCACCTGCAGACCCGCGACCACGGAGCACACAAGGCCACTGGCCGAGCACCGGGTGGAGTGCTGCACAGTGAGGCTGTGACCACGTTTCAAGTTGTCCACAAGCATAGCCGCCCCGGGACGGGGGCAGGAAGCACGCTGGCTCACACTCAGGATTCCCCTTAATGAAAGAAGTGCCAACGCTTTGCCCTCGTTTGGCTTGCACGCCACCACCAGCACAGCAGGAACGGGCTCCACTTTGAGTGAACTGTCTGTATGGTGTGACCTTCTTAAAAAGAAGCCCAAATAACCTGAATAAAATAGTTTCAAGAGTGAAGGAACTCAGATATTTCTCCGGGTACCAAAGTGGTTCACTCTTCAGCCAGAGGCAGAGCGAGACCCCGGCCTGCGTGGCAGCGACTGAACAGCGACCCTGCTCCCCGCCCGCCGCCCAGGACGAGTGCCCAGCCCAGCCTGGCAGCTCCAACAGGAGGCTCCCAAGTTTTCCTTTTGCTCAAGTTGATGTTTTTTACCATTTTATTAATTTTTTTAGAGAGGTAGAGAGAGCTAGAAACTCTGATTGGCTGCCTCCTGCACGACCCCCACCAGCGACCAAGCCCGCATCTCGGGCCTGCGCCCTGACCGGGAATTGAACCAGGACCTCTCGTCCATGGGATGACGCTCAGTCCGCTGAGCCACAGTGGCTGGGCCTGCTCTGCTCCGGCTCACACCGTGGACCACACTCTGGCTGCAGGTGGCCGGCACCCCAAGGGCAGCTGTGCCCTGCACACTGTCGACGCAGACAGCTGTTCTCAGAGCACAGAGCAGCCGCCACCCCAGAGTGGCGACCATCACATGTGGGACCGGCAAGAGCCCCAATCCCCCTTGAGTGACAGGACTGGGAGTGTAAACTGGTTCCCGTCACTGGTTTCCTTACAGTGCAGCATGGAAAAGGAAGGAATTCCACATTTCAAACTAAGACACGACCCCAACATCGCTGCTCAAGTGAACCCTAAGCTAGAAAGTCCCCTCACCCCCACGAGGTCCCGAGCACACCAGCTGCTAGGACACCCGAGTTCTGCCTAGAACCCCCACTCAGACACTCCAAGTCTGTTCACAGTGACCAGCCCCAGACAGGTTCAGGGCCCCCAGCCTACACTAGCCACGTCCGCTGTGCGATGTCACAAGAGGCTTAAACACCCAGAGAGGCAGGTGTGTCCACGCGCAGCCTTCTAGACGAGAAGGGTCAGGCACCTGCTCTTCCCGTGGCGAGAGAACCCGGCAGAGGGGAGCAGCTCGGTCAGACTCCAGGTGCTGAGAGTGAGGGTGTCAGCACGCGACCGAGCCCGAGCCCTAGAACCGTCCTCTGGGCTTCTGCAAGCCAGTTGCTCGGAGACAGCCCGCCCTGCCTGGCTAGGAGTGGGCTCTGGTCCCCCCCGAAAGGGTCTGTGCCCGGAACGCTGCGCTGCTCTTTCAGAGCCGGCTCCTGGCGAAGGCGGCGTTTGGTTCCGCAGGGACTCTCGGCAGGAGGGCTGGAGGCAGATCGCTGACGAGAAAGCGGAGCTGCAGGGCATCCGCTCCTGGCAGAGCAGACCAGGGGACGGGCACAGCCCTCCTGCTGACAGGCGCTGGCCAGGCACCCGAGGGCCAGCCTGCCCCAGAGACCCTGCCCCGGGGCCTCTACACATCAAACAACGTGCTACCTGCTTCTCCCGTGGCCTGCCACAACCTGAATGAACCTGCTTTTATTTTTTATTTATTTATTTATTTTTTTAATCCTCACCCGAGGACATTTTTCCATTTTTTGTTCAGGTAGAGTGGGAGGGAGAGAGAGGAACAGAGAGAGAGAGAGAAACATCGATGTGAAAGGAACACATCGAGTGGCTGCCACCCGCACGACCCAACCAGGGCCGGGGACAAACTGCAACCGAGGTACGCGCCCTTAGCGGGAACCGAACCCGGGTCTCTCAGGACCGCAGGCCGACGCTCTAACCGCTGAGCCAAACTGGCCAGGGCTGAATGAACCTGCTTTTAAAGACGTGGCCGTAAGTTCATGGAGTTGAGAGTTAAATAAAAAATTTTCTAAGATGTATTTTTTCTTTCTCCTCACCTGAGAATATTTTTCCATTGATTTTTTTCAGATAGAGTGGAAGGGAGGGAGGGAGGGAGGGAGGGAGGGAGAGACACATCGACTGGTTGCCTCCCCACGACCCAGACTGGGGCCGGGATCAAACCCGCAACCAAGGTACGTGCCCTTGATCGGGAATTGAATCCAAGACACTTTGGCCCGCGGGCCAACACTCGAACCACTGAGTCAAACCGATCATTTCTTTTCTTGAATCCTCACCTAAGGCTAAGTTTTTACTGATTTTTTTTTTTTTTCAAATAAGAAAAAGAGGAAGGAAGAGAGACAGAAACATCGATGTGAAGGAGAAACACTGACTGGTTGCCTCCTGTACACAGCCCAGCCGAGGACTGAATGACAACCCGGGAACGTGCCGACCAGGAATCAAACCCACAACCTTTTGGTGTACGGGAGGACCCTCACCCACCGAACCACCAGGCCAGGAGCCCTTATTTGGGCCTGTGGATGCCCCCCCCCCCCCCCCCGCGTGTGCACCCATGCACCTGCACACCCACCTGGAGCGCCGTGCTGTCCGGTAGGCACTGGGGAGAGAGTGCTTCGCCTTTGAGTGGGACCGAGACCGGGACTTGGACGACGAGTGGTACTTGGGGGAGCGTGACCTTGTTCGAGACCGTTTTTTGTGCTTCTTCTTCTTCTTCTCTTTCTCTTCTTCTCTGGGGGGGTCTCTGCTTTTGCTTGAGGGCCCTTCAGGAGGTTTAACTTCCGAAGTCGGCGGAGGCCGGCCCCCACTCAGCACAGGGCAGGCCACAGGGCTGGCTTCCTGGAAACAGAGGCAAACGTCCGGGTGTTAGCAGGCAAACGCGGTGTTTAAAATGACTGCACTCCCTGGCTGGCCCGGCTCGGCGGTCAGTGTCACACTGAAGGGTTGCGGGTTCGATTCGCAGGCAAGGGCACAAACCTGGGTTGCAGGTTTGATCCCCTGCCCGGTCAGAGTCTTGCAGGAGGCAACCAACCGTGTCTCTCTCACAAATGTTTCTCTCTTCCTCCCTCTCTTCCACTCTCTAAAAATCAACGGAAAAAATGGCGGCAGGGAGGATTAACACCACAAGCACATTACAGAACTGCCTGCCTGAGGCCCTCACACCAGGGACGCCGCAGCACCCTCTCGGACAGGACCAGTCTCCACATGGCCCTGGAACAGCGCACGGCCTGTGGGAGAAGACAGCGTCCCCGACCCAAGGGAGGGGCTCCTCTTCCCACCCATGTCGCCGAGCGGCCGACTGGACAAACAGATGAGCTGGGAGAGCCGCACCTGCTTCACAGTAACCGTGACTTTCCTCCAAGAGAGATGCTTCGACCTGCACACTCAGGGCCGAGCGCCTGCACCACTCTGAAAATAACCGCCACAGAACGCCCACACCGAAGGGGTCACGCACCTTCGAGACCACGGGTGCTCACGGACTTTCCGCAGCCATCATCGCAGTGTGTCAGCCGACACACGTCAGCCGAGGACACGAGGGAAACAGCCAGCACGCGACTGCGAACAGGGGACCCACCGGACACGCCGTCTCGCTCTGCACCTCACCCGAGAAAACTCCTCCAGGGCAGACACCAGGAGCGCGGGCCGCGGGCCACACGCCTCGCCCGGCAGGCTCACATCAGGAATGCCGGCACCACCACGGCCACCACCCCGGGCTGGCCAGCCCCCCAAGCAATCCCATCTCTGGGCCTTTGCCTGTCACCTTGGCGTGTAAGATGCCCTCGAGGGCCCCCCCTCACATCACCCGAGCGAGTGATCCAGAGTCACAAACCTCTGGCAAGGCCATCAACAAGGTCCTGGTTCAACATGGCCTGTCTACACAGTGACCCAGCATTCAACTTTACAGTGGACACTGTCCACACCACATTGTAAAGTAGAAATGAGTCACCAAACCAAAGGACACCAAACTCCACAAGAACACCACCACTGCTTGTTATTTGCAGCTGGGCCTGCAGCCTGTGTGTGCCCAGTCGGTGGTGGGGAAGGAGGCTGCAGGAACGCAGCCTCCAGCCTGGGAGCTGCGACCACACACCAGGAAGGGCGTGGACCATCCGAGGGGTTTCCATCGCTCCAGCCTCAGGGTGCAGCCTCCTGCTCGGGGACCAGCTCAGGCGCACACCACGGCCTCTCCACCAACACCGATGGGCTCCAGCCTCAGGGTGCAGCCTCACGCTCGGGGACCAGCTCAGGCGCACACCACGGCCCCTCCACCAACACCGATGGGCTCCAGCCTCAGGGTGCAGCCTCCTGCTCGGGGACCAGCTCAGGCGCACACCACGGCCCCTCCACCAACACCGATGGGCTCCAGCCTCAGGGTGCAGCCTCCCGCTCGGGGACCAGCTCAGGCGCACACCACGGCCCCTCCACCAACACCGATGGGCTCCAGCCTCAGGGTGCAGCCTCCTGCTCGGGGACCAGCTCAGGCGCACACCACGGCCCCTCCACCAACACCGATGGGCTCCAGCCTCAGGGTGCAGCCTCCTGCTCGGGGACCAGCTCAGGCGCACACCACGGCCTCTCCACCAACACCGATGGGCTCCAGCCTCAGGGTGCAGCCTCCTGCTCGGGGACCAGCTCAGGCGCACACCACGGCCCCTCCACCAATACCGATGGGCTCCAGCCTCAGGGTGCAGCCTCACGCTCGGGGACCAGCTCAGGCGCACACCACGGCCTCTCCACCAACACCGATGGGCTCCAGCCTCAGGGTGCAGCCTCCTGCTCGGGGACCAGCTCAGGCGCACACCACGGCCCCTCCACCAATACCGATGGGCTCCAGCCTCAGGGTGCAGCCTCCTGCTCGGGGACCAGCTCAGGCGCACACCACGGCCTCTCCACCAACACCGATGGGCTCCAGCCTCAGGGTGCAGCCTCACGCTCGGGGACCAGCTCAGGCGCACACCACGGCCTCTCCACCAACACCGATGGGCTCCAGCCTCAGGGTGCAGCCTCACGCTCGGGGACCAGCTCAGGAGCACACCACGGCCTCTCCACCAACACCGATGGGCTCCTGCGGCCACAGGAGATGGGACGAGGCAGAGTCACCCCGAGGAAGGGCTGGGTGCAGCGTGCTTTGGTGGCAGTCACCACGTGAGCTGTGGCCCTGTCCCGGGAGCACGCCAGCAGGGCTGTGTGACGCGAGCAGGGAACATCTACTCCTGCGCATGCCAACACCGTGGGCAAAGGCCCTGACCACCTCCCAACCCGTGAATCCCTCAGAGCTCCGAGGGAAGACCCAGATCTCCCACCTGCCCAGCAAGGCCGTCCTCGTGGACTGGACTGTGGGAAGCAGGGCTGGAGACGGATGCTTTGACATCCTGACACCGAGCGCGGGCAGCGGGGTTCCTAACAGGCGCGACCAGCCTCCACATGGGAGCCCCAGGATGGAGAGCCCACCAGCAAGTCGGCCAGAGGCAGCACAGGGTGGCCACCGTGGGCAGCGCCCAGCACCAGCACAACTGTGCCCATCAAGGTGCCTGTGAACTTAAATAATACGTTTCGATGTAAATGCTATTTGTGGCTTCACTACAGAGCACCCTGCCTGCTAACCCAATTAGATGCACAACCACCACTGAGCAGGCCTCACCCTCCCGTCGGGGTCTGAGGGCACCTGCTGAGCTCCAGCACCTGGCGGGGACAGACAGCTGCAGTGACCGTGCACAGCGGGCAGTGCTGCCTTCTGGGACGGGACGCGAACACTCCTCCAGCAGAAGGGGCCAGGGCAGAAATGGCCATGGGGAGGGAGGACCAGGCTGACTCCCAGACGGTTCGGGAGAAACGAAGAACTGGGAGCACGTAACTGCGGGCTGTGCCCACGCGGGGCGCTGGGAGCGACAAGAGCCTGCCCTCCGCTCACAGCACCGCCTCTCGGCACAGGACCAGCGAGGGCCGTTGCCATGTTGGGGCCACGGCTAGAGAGCAGGCAGTGTGGGCTTTGAACAGAGCCTTCTCAGGAAGGGCCCGCACTGGCCAGGACATGGGGTAGTCCTACTGCCCAGCATGAGATGTCACACTTGGAGATGCGTCCTCCCCGCTGCCCAGGAGCAGCCCCATTGCCAGACGTGCGGGGGACGCTGTTCTCAGGGCGCCTGTCTCCTGCCCCTCAGCCGACACGCAGGCCGTGGCCGCGCTGTCTCCGCACTGCCCCACTCGCTGCCCAGTCCACGCGCATCTATCTGCTCCTCTGCTCCTCCTCCTCTACAGACCCTGGAGCTAATCACACCCGGCGGGGGTGGGGGGGGGGGGAGAGCATCTCTGTCTCCCAATTAGGACAGCTCCTCCGAGGCCTCGTCCTAGCCCAGCCCTCTACAAACACCTCTGTGAGGCAGGGGCCGCAGGCCACAGGCACCCCTGCCCCCTGGAGGCTGGGCTATCCCACCCACCTAGTGGAAACGTCCGTGGGCAATGGTCACACAAATGTGACTTTACGGTCATTGGGCGAGAACCACCCCACAGTGCCTGGAGTGTGACGGGCTCCACACACAGGCTGGTTCAGTTCCCGTTTCCTTCCCAAGCTCGGACTGGACCTGCTGACTTGGCAGGACCATCAACTTGCGGCATCTGAAGTGCCCGGAGCCTGTTGTATGGACGATTGTGGAGCAGCTCAAAAGGGTGCAATTCAGGGCTCCTGGTTTCTCTCTGCTCTGGCACGAGAACACACACAGGCACCAAAGATGGGTCAGCTCCGACGGGCCAGCCCCGAGTCTCAACACTCTGGGGAAGGAGCCCTGCACTGCGCCAGGTCAGGGAGCCCTGCCCCCAGAATGCTCAGCGGAGTCGGGGCATCATCTCCAGGAGCTACTTCCAGCTGAAAATATTTGAGTGTGAATCTCATTTATGACAATTGCCAATTTAACGCCAGTATTTTTGTTCCAAAGCAATGAAAGGCGTTTATCACCGTCTGCTAGCACCATCGCGTTCCTGTTGGAACTGCCCAGAGCGGCAATCTCTCCCCCAGACACCCAGCGGGATGGGTCCAATGATGCACACGAGCAGCACAAACACTCGGCTCCACGTCGAGACCCAAACACACGCCTGCAGACGGGGGGTGGAGACACCAGAGGGGACAGGGAAAGCAGCCCCTGTGCTCACAGGAGGAGGTTCCGGGCCGGGCAGGTGACAGGCAGACTGGGGAACGAGGATGGATGGGAAGCGAGCCTGGTGGGGACCGAGTTCTCATTAACCCGTCACGTTGGAACACAGACGCGGCCACATAACACAACCGGGTGGGGTGCGTCTGCAGATGTCTTTTAATTAAGCCCTTTATTCACCGCACGCATGACATCGGGACGATAAAGGAAATTAAAGTGGCCCCCGCGCACGCCCGCTCCCTCTCCCTCCCCCTCCCGGCCCGCGGCTGACGTCATCTCAGAGCTGCAGACACAGGCAGGGCCCCGACTGCTCTGCTCTCCCCCGAGGAAAGCCCTCTCCTCTGCCGCCCGTGTCCGTGGCCATGTCAGTGCTCATGTTCACCTTCCGTGGGGGGAGGGCTTTCCAGGCCAGGGCACGCCACACGTGCTCTTCTGGCACCTCTGCTGTTGGCGCCGGCGGCACTCGCCCCGGGCGCGCCTGGGGCACCGCGGGGCCCGCAGCGCAGCGCAGCCTACGGCACCTCACACAGCACACGCTGGCTGCTCCGCCCGGCCCAGCCTGACTCCTGAGGGCTCCGGCCAGCCCGAGGGAGAAAGCTGAGCCAGCCTCACCGGCGCTGACCGTCTGCACTCGATTGCTGCTCGCCACAGACACACACCAGCAGGCCTCGTGCAGCAGAGACCAGCGCTCAGTAAGGATCGAGACCCCTAGAACGTCATGTGATCACAGCAGAGAAAGCAGGGCTCCTGCACAGGGAAGGCAGTTACGCTGACGAGGGACCCCTGAGAAGTGACTCGAACGGCTGTTCTGACCCACAGGAAGGGAGGCCACACCGGAAGGGCTAAGTCCTGGTCACACGCTCAGGAAGGAGCCAGAAGGACTGGCCTCCTCTAAGAGAAGACAGCGTGACTGAAGCCGGGACACTGTGCCTGCCCCTTTGTGAGCATGTGCCCTGCACTTGGCGACAGGCACTTCAAGGAGCCACAAAGCAGAGCCCACAGCCGGGAACCCAGACACCGGCAGTCCCGTGCTGAGGGCCCCACCGAGGCTGGAGGCCGGGCCCCCCAGGAGCCCGCATTCACGGCCCGCACTGACCGCGGACCTCGGTGAACTCACCTCTGCGTTGAGAGGACTCTCCCCGACTCTCCCGAGCTCCGCCTCCGGCGCCGGGCTTCTCAGGGTCTGTAGGAACAGCGCAGCTTTCCGCTTCCGCTCCGCCTGCAGCTGCTTCTCCTTGGACTCCTTGGACGCCTGGGCCAGCTTCTCCCTGGCGGCAGCTGCGAGCCGGTCCTCCAGCTTTTGCTTTGCTTCAGGGACGAACAAGGGAGGAGCGGCACTGAGAGTGAGAAACCTACAAAGACCTCGCTGTCTCCACGTTCACAGCCAGCAACAGGGGCAGGAGCTGCGACACAGTCATTTTCTTTTCTTTCCTGTTCTGTATCTCTCCCCTCCCCCACCCCCTTCCCTCTGAGGTCCGTCTGCTCCCTGCTTCCATGTCTCTGGATCTATTAATGCAGTTATTTAAAAAGATGTACGAGACACAAATTTCAGGATAGACAAACAAATCGGACCAAATTTTGAGAGTTCATAATGCTCATTACTAGCATGTCTAGATTCCACTTTCAGAATCAGTCAGCCGGTGGATGGGCTTCCACAGCGGCACAGCTGGGACCAGGGGCGAGGGGCTAGCTCCTGGAAGCAGGTGTGCGGACGTCCCTGGCAGGGGAAGGGCACGAGGACGCGGCTCAGCCCACACCCAGCGCAGAGCCATCGGCGTCCTGAGCCCCTCAGCACAGTGTCTGGACGGGAGGCGTCTGTGGTTAGGACAACCTCTCCGAGTGCTCAACCTGCTGCGCACAGAAGGAGCACAGCCCGCCAGGGGTCGTCCCTGCTGGCCCCAAGGCGGAGGCCAGTGGTGGCCACGCTGTGACCCGTGAGGCCGAGCCCCAGCCTGCAGACCAGCCTGGGCCTGTAGCACTGCCAAAGGCCCAATGGATCTGCTGGGAGCCTCACAAGAGGGCGCCCCTCCTGAGCACCCCTCCTGAGCACCTGCCCGAGCAAGCACAGAGGCCCCTCCGGGATGCCGCTCCCCCAACGCAGGCCGCCCGCCCCGCCTGATGCCGACTGGAGCGCGGCCGTCACTGACAGAGCCGCCCAGGCGCAGAAGCATCACCAGCTCCCAGGGGCCCCGATCTCGAGGCGGAGACGGCCAGCGCGTCAGAACAAGGTCGGAGACACACGGACAAACCTTGCTTGGCTTCCAGCTCCTCCTGGGTGAGCTGAGGCCGCTTCTCTTCAACGACCACACAGGGCGGGGCCACCACCGGGTCCGTGTTTGCGGCGGCATTAGCGCTTTCTTGTCCCTCTTTGCCTTCTTCATCGTCATCGCTGTCGTCATCTAGCTTCACACGGTTCTTTTCCAGGGGAAGGAGATCGTTGTCTTTGGCCTTGATCGCAAAGCTGATCGGAGCAAATGGAGCTGCTGAGAGGGGAGAAGGGGACACTCAGGTGACGGAGCTCAGAGCGGAAACCTCCCCGGGCCCCGGCCACACGGGCCTCGGCTGGTGGGAGGGACGTCTTGGGGGTTCTGGGGCAGCGAGCCCGCCTGCCTGGTGAAGGGGTGTCCACGCACACACCACTCACAGCAAGGCGGGCGGCTCCCAGCGAGGACCACGTGCCGACAGAGGGACCAAGTCCTGTCAGCCCCCAAATTTTAATTCAAGAGAAACACAAACTCTCAAAAGGACGTCATCTTCTCCGTCCCCACCCTCACCCTCGGTCATCAAGGCTCTTTCTCCTTCAGGTACGAGGCTCCCTGGCCCTTAACAACTCGACCTATTGATAAGATGCCTTATTTTAAAAAACCGTGAGTTGTTACTGATGAAGGACGTTCCAGTAAGTCACAAAGGGAGATGAAATGCAGACCAGCAGACGCTGAGGGGGACAATTCTGGGTTCACACCAGCAGGTTCCAGCGGGCTGTGACTGTGGGCAACCCCACCTGAGCCCCAGGCTCTCCCACACCCAGACCTGTGGCACGCCGTCACGGTGACGGTGTGACCTGTCAGGAGTCCCCTCGAGCCACATCCCAGGAGACCCACTGCGGCCCTCACTCCGGCCTCGCTGAGCTGTGACAGCTGCCTGGGTCTCCTGCACACACCCAGCCGGACACGTGCAGACAGAGCCCTGACGCTGGCCTTGCCCCCAAAGCTCTGAGGCGGGCTGTCGAGACGCACAGAACAAGGTTGGCCCGGGGCTGGTGGGGCTGGGTGCTGAGCACACGGGGGGGGGGGGGTGTCCTCACACCACACTCCGGCTTTGTACATGCTTGAGATTCCCCACAACAAAGAATGACCAGCGGCACTGCCCTTGCTGCCCCTGGCGATGTGTCTCCGGCAGCCAGGGAGCCTCAGGAGAGGAGACCGCACTTCAGTGGTGACCAGAACCACCCATGTTCACCGGGCTGAAGTGTCGCACCACGAAGTAACTGAAACAGCTCTTCCTAAACCACTTTGTCCTCCAAATTAGAACAGCAAGCCACCACAAACGGAACACTCGGCGGAAGCTTCCGGAACACGGCCCACTCCAGCGGTCCAGGTGCACTGCGGAGCTGGCAGACGGGGCCGCACGCACCGCAGGTGACTCAGCAGCGGAACCGACCGACGCCCGGTCTCCAGCTCCGGGCCTCCCGCGCCTGCAGGGCACCTTCAGGTGCCCACTGCCCGTGAGGAGATGGGCTGCCCAGCCAGCTGAGAGCTGGGGACGAGGATGCGGCTCCTCTGCAGAGCTGCCGTCCACACACTTCTGCTCCGCCCAGAATCTTACCTGAATCCCACTGTGCCTTCCTGCAATAAGGGCGAACCCCGTTCCTCTGCTCCCCTTGTGCTGCCGGGGGTTGCCCAGCACATCTCCTGCTGGGCTGGGTCCCTCCTTCCTCTCTGAGCCTCAGTTCACAGCCACCTCCTCACACAGGCCCACCTGCCTCCCTCACCCCACTCCACACCTGTGCGGCGTTCCTGCCCTGCTGGCCCGGGCCTGCGCAGACGGCAGGGCCGAGTTGGCCGTGCCCACCACATCTGGGCAAGGCCCGGAGCAGCCGGCTGGAGGGGACCGCAGTCCTCAGCTCCCCGCCTTCCAGACCAAACATGCTTCCACTCGGAAATTCACATGTTTTATCATCAACTTCTAACTTCAGAAGTGGTAGCTGTCTTCCATGGCAACTTTCGAAAACACAGGCCAACAAAGTGGAAGATCCCGACTGCAGCCGTGAGGGTCCGGGCAGGCTGCACACATGACACCTGGAAGCGCGTCAGCCGGGAGGCCCCGGCCGTGGCACCCCCTTCGTCAGCACCTCGCCTTCCACCTCAGCTAAGCGCACGCGACTCTGAGTCAGCAGAGAGCACTTTACAAACGGCAACAACACTTCCTCGCATGGACGCCTCCCACCCTGCTTCCCATCTCTGCAGACTGAGCACACCGCCTGTGGTGAACGCCGGGGCCACGCACCCGGGGAGCGGGCGTCTCCAGGCACAGGAGGGCGCTCTCACTGAGAACTGGTCCATGTCGCCAGGTCTCTTCGTGATGCTCTCACTGCCTTGGATAACTTTTGACCAGACTAACCACTCCGGTGCGCTGCCTGCCCTGTCCAGGCCCAGCTCTGAGAACGCTCTGCACCAGTATCTTAAACGCAGCGTGTTTGCATGTGACGCTGCAGACCCCACTCGTACAGGCCGACCTGCCCCCACCTTGCTCCGGAGGACAACCTGCTGTTTCCATCTGAGGTCTTCCTTTCCATCTGCCCTTCTCCTTGGAGGCCTGAGAAGCCCACAACCTGGCCTGCACACCTGTTTCAGAGCATCTGCCATGCTTGGCGGAACCGAACCCGAGTCTACTCCCGCCATGTTTAAGCTGCGCCCTCAGCAGCCTTCCAGGGGCGGCCGAGGGGCTGCATGCGCTGTCCGGCCTCCAGTTCTCTGGGCGCAGATCCGAGCACCACGCCCCGCTCCTCAGGAGCTGTTGGAGGTGACAGGGCTTCAGGGCTCAGCGTGTGTGCCACGGCCCTGAGCCATGGCAGGGACTTGCCCCCTCCCCGGGGAGGCCTGTGCGTCCTCAGCACTGGGCTGAGGACCAGCAGCTCTTGGGCTCGGGGTGCGGAGGGAAGCGTTTCCCTGCTGACAGGACACCCCCTCACCTCTGCTGGGATCACTGCCACCAAGTCCCAAAGTGCCCTGAACTGCTCTCTGGGCTGAATCCCAGGTGGACGGGCCATGCTGCCCACGGACAGCACAGCCTCACCACCCTGCCTCTGCTGGACTGCAGGCCTCCGCTGTCCCCACACCGCCTGGCCCCACTGTCAGTCTGCTCCAGGCCACATGCCGCCCGGGCCTCAGAGCAGCTCCCCTGCCCCAGTCTCTGCACAGGCAGAACGTGGTGAAGCCAGTCCTCCCCCAGACCCTGTGCCCCTGCCCACTAAAGTCCCAGCACCTCAGGGGGCAGCCAGAGTCCCATGAGCTGGCCAGTGACCTTCCCAGACTATGCCTACCTCGCTGCCCATCACGCTCAGCCCCTTGACCTCTGCCTGGAGCTGCTCCTGACACTGCTCAGACATGCTTCCCGCAACCCCCCAGGTGGACACCCCCAGGTGGCCCTAGCTTGCTGTCACAAGCCCACACCAGCGTTTCTCCTGTTTTTTATCCTATTGGCTGCTGCCATGTCTGTCTGTCTTTGCGGATGAGAAACTCCTTCCGAACATAAAGGAAGTGAAATGAAGTGAGTGGAGTTCTGCTTGGCAGAAAACACATTTCCTGGGACAGCACTATGCATATAAATTAGTCTCGGAAGCCCGAGACTACGCCCAGAACTAATCGCTTGCAACATTCTACACGAGCCCACTAACCCGCCAGAGCAGGCTGCCAAGCCAGCACAAACCTGTGCCGGGCTCTGCCAGGCGGCCCCGGGTCCGCGGCAGGATGGCCCCGCCGTGCAGGGTCCGCGGCACGGCCTGTGTTGGCTGCACTCAGGAGCCCACGCCCTCCCACCCCCCCACCCCCGGGAACACACAAGAACCTGGAGCCTACCTTTCACCAGCTTCCCGTCTGGGGCTGCTTTACCGGACGCCGACTCCTTCTTCCCCCCCGAGCCGCCTCTTCCTCCTGCGTCAGCTGGGTCCTCAGCCACACCTTCCTGCCCCAGATCACTGGGCTTTCCAGGAGCAGATTCTGCAGGAGCCTCTTCCGGTGCTGACGTAGCCTGCAGACAAGAGCGCACTGTGGCCCGGGGCACGGCTGTCACGAAGACGGGTGCAGGCCCAGGCCTCTCGCTGGGCAGCAGCGGTTCTGCACCGCTGCCGGAGCGACAGCAGGAGAGTCCCCGGCCTTGCTGCTGGGCTATAGGAGGGTGGCGAGCAGCGGTGGAGGCGTCCCTGGAAGAATGCTGTGCCCCTTAATCTGCACCGTCATGGGGACCAGTGCTCCCCACCTTCTCCTGGGGGAGAGCCGAACGCTGCCCCCCAACCACAGAGGAGTCCGCTTTCTTCACTTCGAGCGACCAGAGACAAGAGGGTGAGACCCAGGACAAGCAAGGCCTGCGCCCTGCTCTCTCCATTCCTGTGGGCTCGACACCTGCCAGGCCGTCCCCACGACAGGAAGCAGTCAGCAGAGGGGAGAGGACGGGGGAGACTGGGGGGCCTGTGGGAGGCAAGGGTGTGGGCAGCAGCGGCGTGCGTGCTCACAGCGACACGCCCACCTGTGCGAGCGCCACAGGACAGCACACGCGCGTCCACAGTGCCTGCGCCCTGGCCAGTGTGGGCCAGCAGTCAGAGCGTCGGCCCGAGCACCGAGAGGTCAAGGGTTTGATTTCGAGTCAAGGACACACACCTGGGTCGCAGGTTCAATCCACGGCCCTAGTTGGCGTGTGTGGGAGGCAACCAATGTCTCTCTCTCACACTGATGTTTCCCTCTCCCTCCCTCCCTTCCTTCTTCGCTACGCTAGAGAGAGTTTCTCTCTCTAAAACGCAATGAAAAAATATCCTTGGGTGACTTTTTAAATAAGTGCTTAAAAAACAGCAAACCAAAACATCAAGTGCTTGAAGAAATGGGATGTTTTAGAACACGCCGGACACATGATTGACCTTTAATGAATTGTGTGTATGGGTGAAAGTTCTGGCAGACTTAAAGCTCAGCCATGAGGGGGCAAGTCAGACTCAGCACAGCTAAAAACAAGCGCAGAACCAGCCAGCGCTTCCGCGCACCCTGCACAGCTCTCTGCCCTGAGAACCGGAGCCGCCCACCCGCCCGCCCTCACGGGCAGTACCTGAGCGCCATCGCCCCCTTCCTTCTGCAGGAAGAACTGCTTCTTAAACTCGTAGTAGGCGTTGTACTGGTGCCAGGGCTGGAGGAACTCGAACCTGCCGACACAAGGGGAGCCGTGGGCATCAGCATACGCAGGGCACGGCAACAGATGGGCACCACCACAACGGACTGTGGGCGCAGCTCTGCCACGCAGCAGCCATGCCGAAGCCCCACCTTCCAGACGGGCCAGAGGTGGGGGGTGCCCGCGTGCCCGTCTCACACGTCGAACTGCAAACCCGGCTTCCTGCTGCTTTACTACCCGAGGCACAAAACATCACTCGGAACAATCACAAATCCCGAGACGCGCATATGGATTCCCATAGCAGATCCCCGAAAAGCCCGAACTCCAGCCTTTTTAGGTAGTTCCAGTGTTTTTACTTAAAAACAAAATGCACACTAAAACCCCAACAAATCAGGTGACCCAGTAAGAAGTCACCACTGCAACCCCAACCAACCAGACACGACCCCAAGCTGTGTCCACGTGAACACACGAGGACCGAAAATGCCAGAGAACGACCGCGCAGCCGGGGTCAGAAGCAGCTAAGCCCGTCACCACCCGTGGCCCACACAGTGCCCTTCACTTCACCTTTGATCGTTCTTGGCACGGACGCTGGTCTCAAACTTGAGGCCATTCCTGGCCACGTACTCAGCCAGCTTGTCAATCACGGGCTGGATGTCAGGGGGCGGGGGGATGATGGCGGCCACAGGAGCCAGAGCACTGCAGAGAGGAGCCGCCGGTCACAGGGAGCACCGCCCGTGAGCCCGCGTCACGCCACACGCAGGACTATTCACGGGACGGCTCATCACACTGGCGGCATCAAGCCGCTCACAGCAGGGACCAGAGCGTCACCGCCAGTGGTGAGGGTGAGCCCAGCGCCACGGGAACAGGCCCACTGTTCTCTCCTAGCCCACAGCACAAGCTGAGCGGCTGCGTGACGCTCAGTGGGAGGGGCCGTCTGTGCAGAACATCCGTGTCAAGAGAGCGCCTCTTCTCAGCGGAGACCGCCAGCGCCTGAGCGCTCCGGACACGTGTGGGCTCGGCCTCGGGAGCCCCACTGCGCGGCGGGCTGGGCCCAGGCACTGCCCTCTCTCCCACCAGCAGCCTGGCGGCCATGAGACTCACTTCCATCGAGTGTTTGAAGCTGCAGCTTCAACCCGTGAACCCACCTCACTCTGCCCTAGGGAGGTGTCTGCACACGGGCGAGGGCAGGTCTGGACAGGGCCCTGGGGGGTGCTACCCGGGGACTCCCCCTAAGTGCCTAGACCTCACTGCTGAGGGTCTGTAATGACTGTTTCACGGCTCCATCAACTCCACTTGGGGATTTGGACAACACATGCAGATCACGGAGACCCTCCGCGTAACCCGGATTACAGAGACTCCCCACCCAGGAGCATAGAAGTGCCAGGTAACCTGCAGGAATGAGAGTATACCTTGTGGTGATGGTGCTGGAGGTCACCCCGCTACTCGTTTCTGCTGTGGTGGGGGGCGGCGGCGGCGTGGTACCAGGAGGTGGCGGGGCGGTGGCCGTCACTCCGGCAGTACTGGATACGGCCACTGCGGCTGGCAGGGTGCTGTAGTACGTGGCCACGTCAACGCCCGGTGGGGGTGGGGCCAGGCAGTAGGTGCCATCCGGGAGCATATAGTAGCTGTAGTACATGGCGGCCACTGTCGCTGTGAACACACGGTCGGGTGAGAGTGGCACAGGGCAGGCTGGCTGCCGCGGCTCCCGGCGCAGCACAGGCACCTCCCAGGGCCCGTCCCCGTCCCACAACACCCGTCTGGGACGAGGGGCTGTCCCGTAACACCCGTCTGGGACGAGGGGCTATCTCGTAACACCCGTGTGGAAGGAACAGCAACGTCCAGATTTGCACCCGGGATGAGGGAGAGTGAAGCAGCCCAAAGGCGGACCTGCCTGGGCCAGTCACGCTCTCCTGACTTCAGAAAGTGCAGACGAGTACAGAGGACCCTCTCCAGTGGCACAGCTATCCCTTCCCGGGTGGCCTGCCTCGGTGTGGCTGGTGCTCTGCACTGCTGTCCCCAGGGTGACACCGACTCTGTGTCCTCTAGGCCCCTTACTTTCTCACGGACGCCTTCCTGCTGGAGTCGCCCATCCGTGACGCTGTGTGCTCTCTGCAGCCCCCGGCCCCCACCCCACAGATGTGCTGTGACGGAGATAGGAGGTCGCTTTGGGGCTCTGCCGGTATAAACGGTGATATACAGCAGCCTACTGTATATTTGGGGCACATATGTGAATATCTAGGGCAGCAGCTCATTGTTTTAACCATAAAAAGTCCCGTAAGTTTATTCATCTTTTGGGGGGAGGTATTCAAAATCAGTACAGTTGCCCGGCCAGTGTGGCTCCGTGGTTGAGTGCCGACCCATGCACCAAGAGGTCGCTGGTTCAATTCCTGGTCAGGAAGGGCACATGCCCAGGTTGTGGGCCTAATCCCGAGTGGGGGAGATGCAGGAGATGGCCAATCGATGTTCTCTCTCATTGATGTTTCTCTCTCTCTCCCTCAAATCAATAAAGGAAAAAAAAATCAGTAAACTCACAAAAAAAACTAAATGGTATAATTAAGAATTAAAATCTCTAACACGGCTGTAGACAAGCAACTGGCTCTGATGACAGATTCAGCTTCCTCCTCGCTAGAGGAGGGGAAAAGCTTTCCTAATTAAGAAATTTTATTGTGATTTTCGATTAGTTCATTTTACTTATGTATTTATATTTACTTATTTATTTGGTACGTGCCCCTAGTGGGAACCGAACCCCAGACTCTCTGGACCACAGGCCGACGCTCCAACTGCTGAGCCAACACGGCCAGGGCCACTTTAAAACAAGACCCCCCCACGCAGCCGCGCTGCACAGCGCCCACGCTGTCCCGCACCATGCGCCCCAGGGCAGCTCCAGCCCCACCCTCCCGTGGACCTGGGCTCCTGCGCACACCCCAGGGCTGCGGCATAGCGAGTGCCCAGAGGCAGCACGCACGCTGCAGGCAGACAGCAGGCACCCAGGAAGCACAACGCTGACCCCAGCCCCCGCAGTGTTAAGATGCGGGCTGTGGACAGAGGCCTGGCACACGGGCATCTCTCTGTGAAAGGCTCTTTGAAGACTCGGGCTCCCGCCACCCCAGCCACAGGGCCCGTGGCATCTCTGAGCGGAACCCGCTGGGATGGCCCCTGAATTCAGCCCCAGCTCAGGATCCTCGTGAGCCCCAAGTTCTAAGAATCACTGGACTGGCCAAGGGAAGACAGAGGTCTGGGCCGTGTGAGCCTGACCTAGCGGGTGTGGGCGCCCGCCAGCCCCTCTCCACGGGGTCTGCTGTGGTCAGGGACTCACACTATATTTGCCATGACAGGACTGGGCTGTGCAGACAGTTAAGTGCTGATGTGATCGACTAATAAGCACCATCAGTACCACAAACACTTGCTCCAAATAAATCTGAGAGAGAAATGTCATCGGGCAGGACGTCTCCTGGGAGCAAGGAGAGCTGGATGGAAACACCAGCTGCGGAGCGTCGGGCACACGCGTGAGCACCTCCCCCGTGCTGCACGAGCCCAGAAATGCAGAGCGCCCAGCGGTGTGGATGCTGCAGGTCCTTCGGGTGACAGCAGACGACTCGGTCTGAGAACATTCCTGCCTACATACAGTCAGAGTCATGCTTTCTCCAGCCTGGAGACCTTCGCCCCAGGACGGGTCACGACAGGGAACCTGACGTGCAGCTCACCAGCAAGCGCTGCGGTTCCCGGGCTCCTCGTCGCCCAGGGTGAGCCAGGGCCCTTCAGACCAGGGACAGCACTGCTCCGGTCCTTCCGAAGCGGCCAGAGCAGGGAAAGCCGCTCCCCTCACCTGGTGCACAACGGTCTCCTGCTCTCCGCTCTCAGGACTCTGCTTCTCCTCCTGGACTGGCCTAAAAGGCCCCTCTGGCCATCGTTCGTCTTAGGCTTCAGCAGAGTACTTTCCTATCAGCTCTAGAAAGTACCACCATCAAACAACCCAAGACCCCTTAAAGCACCGAGTCCCCAGTGCGGAGCAGAAGTACCACTGCCCTTCGCAGTGACCAATGGACTCCCCTGCACGGAGGGCGGCTGGACTGAGACCAAGCCGAGAGCCCACCAGGCCACGTGAGGAACCACGACCGGTGGCTCTGCAGGGACAGGGTGGAAGCTTCCCACGTGGCCAGCACGGCCATCTATCCACTGCCCGTGCCCTCCAGACAACCCACTGTGGAAAACAAAGTCCTCACACAAAAGGAGGCTTGTTTTGCTGTCAGCACGCGGGGCTAGAACAGCCGCCGGCCACAGTGGCCCAGGACAGCAGGTCTGCCACCTGGAAACGCCCCCGTGACCAGCTGTGGAGATGGAGATTCGGCCCAGTGTTTGAAAGGATCTCTCTCCAGTAAACTTTCTTCTGGAAAAGCCTGCCTCTAACCACCACTCACGGGTCTTCACTGGTGACCCCCAAGCACAAAGTTCTGAGTTTTTAACATGACGTTACGCTGAGGTTTTGGAGGCCTAGAGAGCTCTGGGCGAACAAGGGCGTGGCTGAGGCACATGACATGCAGTGGACAGAGGCAGAGGGAAGCGGAGGTGTGGGGAGTGGCTGGCAGGGTCACGGAGAAGCCCCTCGACCTTCAGTGGGTGTTGACCTTGAGCGAGGGGCCTGTGGACAGGGGTTCTGACCCTGAGAGGGGAGGCCATCTGCCCTGGGACACTGGGGTTTTCTGGCGAGACTGCACTAGCAAGTAAGGGTGAGAGCTCCCAGGCCAGAGACAGAGATGGGACGACAGGGCCGGACAGCGCCACCCATGAGCGGGGGAGATGCCCAGGGCAGGAGCTGGGTTCTGCAGGAAAGGGCCCAGTCCACCTGAGCTTTTGAGCTGTAGAGGAATCGAAGACGGGGACCCCCCCTGGGCACAAAGAAAGGGGTAGGAGGACCAATGAGGCCGAAGGGGCGGTGCCAGCAGGCCTGCGCATGAGGTGCCCCGTTCTGGTGCACCCCGGAGAGTTCACAATAGTGTTCACACTTTTAAATGATTAAAAACCAAACAAAATATTTCACAGTGCAAACATTCTATGAAATTCAAATTCAGTGCCCATTAATTAGGTCCGTTGGACCCCCTCCTGTAAGGATCGCACACCACAGACAGCACAACCAGAAAAACCGGAGATGCCTGCGTCTAGAGCACAGAGCTCCAGACCCTGTGGGCCCACAGACCCACCCCCCCACACAGCCACTCGCTGCGTCCTCTGCGGCACCGAGCAGGAGATGTGGCTGACCCGACCGTGGGGCCGACATGAAACGGCCGTGCTGACCTGACCATGGGGTCGACACGGGACATGGACAGAAACGGCATGCTGACCCGACCGTGGAGCCGACATGAAACATAGACAAACGGCCGTGCTGAATGCCAAGAATCAGAGAAAGAGACTCAGGAGAGAGACAATCCAAAGCAAGGACGCCAGTGTCTTTGAAGCAGAGAAGCCGACCACCAACATTCAGCAGTGAGCAGTGACCCGAGAGGAGAGTCAGAGCAGGTGCAGTGTGTCCCAGGAAGGCGGTGGTAAGCTGGCTGAGCTGTCAAACTTAAGAGAAAAGGAGGGGAGCCTCGGGGGTCCTGCTGGAGCAGCGCCCACCTTCAGGGGAGGGTGGGGAGATGAAGCTGGCCAGCTTTACAGAGACATTCACTGCAGAAACGCTCAGCAACGCCCCTCACCTCCACGCAAATGTGACTACACGTGTCACTCTCTGCCAAGCTGCTAACGTGTCAAAAGGTAACAGGTGTTTCCAAACACGAGACTGTGGAGCACAGCACCCAAGATCAGTTAAAAACACCAACCAACAAACCCACAGGACCAGTCAGTGGCAGTCAGCCTGCCAGGCTCCCCCACGAGGAAGAACCACACCAGATTCTGGTCTGCGAAGGAGGAGAGAGAAAATGCTCCCCAAGAACATGACATCCAGGCACCATTTCCTTTTTATACCAGGTTCAAAGGCAGGCATTTCTCAAGCGTGAAACAATTCAGGAGACAGAACTCTTGTAAGAAGTTGTTTATCAAATGCGAACCCCCAGGAGACAAACAGGAACAGGAACTCGAATGGGGAAGCTGTGGTGAGGAGCACACTCACTGGACCCCTGAGCTGAGATGATCAACGAGAAAGGCACAGCTGTGGAAGGGACCACACTGTCACTATGAATTGTCACAGAAGCAACATAGTATTTCTTTTACACACACACACACACACACACACACACACACACACACATTGTAGCTGTTTTTTTAGAGAGGAAGAGAGAGAAACATGATCCGGCTGCCTCCTGCGCGCCCCCACTGGGGATGGGGCCCACAACCCAGGCATGTGCCCTGACCAGGAATCGAAACGGGACCTCAGTCCATGGGACAACGCTCAGTCCACTGAGCCACACCGGCCAGGCAACATAGTATTTCTTACCAGACACAGGAGTTAGGGGAGTGAAGGAAAGGTATTTTATGAGCACTTCACTTCCTCTAGTTTCATAGTTAATAAAACCCAAGATAAAAAGTTTTTTAAAAATCTACAATTTTGACCTTTAATGTTCTCCCAATCTTTAGAATTGAATTCATGATACTGAAGCCTTATCTGTAATTACTTCACTTTGATTTAAAAAAATTTTTTTTACTTTGATTTTAGAGAGAGAGGGAGAGGGAGGGAGAGACAAACATCAATGAGAGAAACATCGATTGGCTGCCTCCTGCATGCCCCCCACTGGGGATCAGGCCCACAACCTGGGCATGTGACCGGGAATCGAACCCGTGACCTCTGGTGCACGGGTCCATGCTCAACCACTGAGCCACACCAGCCGGGCCACTTTGATTTTTTATTAAGGTTCTTGTGTCAAACTCAAGTAAAATTTAAAGACTTATTTCCACTTTAACACAAATACTTCTATCCACACAGCCAAAACCTGGCACAGAGGCCACCCCTGGCCACGCAGCTGCGGCTCCTCTATCTCGCGCGCTCCCTGCCACCATCTGCTCTCCACGGCGCGATGCTGCTGCCTGATGTTAACGTGCCTACTTCTGGACGGTGGGGTCTTGGGTAATATTTTTACTTTCTTCTTCTCTCAACTTACAATAAAGCCATTTTCTAAAAAGGGGCTTGGGAATTAAATAAAGCACTTCAAGGCCATGATTTTGCAGGAAAAAAAGAGGAGATGCCATAAACACAACAGCAGAACCACATTTAAGACAGAAGAACATAGCAAGTCTGTCCATATGATGTGGTTCACTCCATTTATAGAGTGAAATATTAAAGAGACAAAGTTAGCATCTTATTTTTAAAAACCATGTGCTACATAATACTGGGTAATATTTCAGTATTATTGCCTCCTGCATAATTAACTTTATTAAACTCTTCTGCGAGAATTCACAGCTAAACAGCAGAAGACACTAAATCACAACAGAAAACAGCATGAAAACAGTTGTCAGGCCAACAAATGAAAGACATTTTTCGTTTTCCACACCTGTGTTTAAGGAGTGTCTACACAGAACTCATGCAACAGAGAAATACAGGCTTTTCCTCCTAGGCTGCCGGAACCTAGGAAGGTCTCTGGGCAGCAGGAAGTCAACCGAGAGCATGGCCAGGCGTACCTGAAGTGGCTACTGGGTGCCTGGTGACACAAAGGGAAGGACAGGCTGGTGACTGCAAGCCCTGGGGCCCAGCCAGGGCCTGGCCCGTGGGGAGAAGCCTTGGGCTGCTGTCCTGGAGCCGACACAGCAGCCTGGGACTGCGGATGGAGCCACAGAACTGGAGGGCACTCAGGACACCAGTTCAGTCTCACAGTGAGCCTCAGAGCAGCCTGCGTTTTCTCCCGAGGGTAAGGGTTCCGGCAGTACAGGAGTGGGAGGAGCCAGGCCCGACCCAGCCCTACCGAGAGCACCACTGCCCTGCTAGAGTCGCCCACAGAAAAGCAGGGATGTTTCCCTCACCCAGCACTGCCTTGGTGTGTCCCCAAAGCACACGAGTCCCCCCACCTGCCCCGGCGCGCACTCACATTCGCACCGCCCGTCTCCCTCTGAGCACGTCACTCACAGCCAGCTTTTCCGTGACTCCACCTGCACACACGAGTGGAGAACGGCAGAAACCCTGGCCACACGTCTGTGCGCTGTGGGCCCTGCACACGCTGCAGCGCCCCGCCCACCTGGACCGGCCCCTCCCTGTGACAGCCGGAAGACAGCTCGGCTGCATCTACACACTTTTAGAATCTCTACCCAAGGATGTTTCCACTTATCTTCAGATGACCACAGCGTAACCACAGATAGAAGCAAACACCTTTGCGCACCCAAGCACAGGTGTTCACGCTTACCTGTTAGGTGTCATTCTGATCTACAGCCCCAAGTTCCAGTGCACAGTTCTTCCTGAACACCCGGACCGGCCCACCTAACCCTTCAGGCTGCCTCTCACCCTATGACCCCAGGGTCCTGAACGGGCGTCTGTTGAGGCGACACTATGGGATCATGCTCTCAGAAGTGCTCTCGTGGGCACACTCTTCTCCACTAGGCCACTCCCATGAAGGTGGGGCGAGGTCGCACCTCTGCACTGGCACCCACTCCAGCACCTGGACTCCAGGCCCGTGCCCCTGCCCTGCCTCGGAGCAGTCTGCCTGGCGCAGTGCGGACACCCTGCCCCACGGCCGGCACACAGGCTGGACGTGAGGCTGCCTGTGCGCAGCACTGGCCTGCGCTGTCTTGCACTTTTATGAGCTGTGAGTTTACTGTGGACATCTATAAGCTGATCTGAGTCACTAAACATTCTGACTCCCTGCTTCTCTGGAAAACCTGGCCCTGGACCCCGCCCTGCACAGCCAGCCATGTCCCACCCACCACAGTTCTGCCTGCCCTGGCTCTTCACCTCTGCTGACTGCACAGGTCGACTGAGGCTGGCCCTCGCAGGGTGCATGTCCAAACCCAAACCCAAAAACCAGGCAGGGTCCCCAAATACCTTTGTGCTCTCCCACTTAGTAAGGGAGGAGACAAGCCGTGGCGGGTTTGGCTCAGCGGTAAGGGAGGAGACAGAGGTCAAAACAACCTTGAATGTGGGGAAACAGTGATCACTTACTTGTGCCCCCTGCTAAGGCACTTCTGGTTGGGGACCCCTGGGCAGGGAGCCAGAACAATGCAACTGTGGGCTGATGGCAGGGCTTGCAGAGAGAAGCATGGGATTCTCCAATGTCTCATCTGGGCCTTTAAGGCCCCTTCTGGGCTGTAGGCGGGACTGTGGTGAGCCCTCTGAAACCTGTGACCCCCTGGTCACCAACCAGACTGTGGGGTCTGACGGTAACGCCATGTGTCACACAGCAGCCCCTCTCCTGCCCAGCCCCGTGGGCTTGCAGACAAGGTGCACCGCCCTCGGCCTCAGCATCTGGCTGCATGCGCACCAGTGACCAGCACAGTGAGGAATCAGCTGTGGCCACCTGCCCTGAATGTCTGTTCCTTCTGCAGGTAACCATGTTTGATGGGACCCAGTGGCTGCACAAGGACACAGCATGCAAACGTGTGGCACTTCAGACGAGGGTGGACAGCAAGGAAGCTGAAAAAATGTTCCACACCATGAACTCCCATTGGACGGATGGGTGATGGGAGCGGAAGCTCCTGGTCACCCCAGAGCCTGATTCATGGGTTCAGGCTAACCGCAAAAAACCCCACCATGAATGGAGTATCAGGGACGTGCAGATGCCTCGGCCCAGGGACACCCGTGTCTGGCACCTGCACCGGGTTCCAGGCCACGACGTGACCAGCTGCGTGACACCAGACTAGCTCTTTGCTTTCAACATCCAAGGAAATGAAATCTGACTTGATTGAACCGTGTAAGGAAATGGGAGTTCTCTAAGGAGTTTCTGTAAGGACACATGCGTTGCGTTCACTCAAGTCTCCAGGGGAAGTGACGCGCGGCCACCACTGGGCTGCCCAGAGGCGAGGACACAGTTGCATGCTCACCGGGCTGGGCCCGGTCCCGGAGCCTGTGCTGTAAGAGAATTCATCTCAGGCCCAGTTCCCAGCCTCTACTTGAAGTGACACACTTCCTAGGCAGGGTGGGCAGACTGGACTTCCGGGTGAGGGGGGCGGGTAAAGAGCTCCCGTGGCTTTGCTGGAGGTTCTCCTCTCACCCAACATCTGACCTCTGAAGGACACAGTTTAAAAAGACGGGCAGTGAAGCCAGGGTAAAGACTTTCAAATGCATCCCTGGAGAGAACGTCGCGATCTGGCCTCTGTGAACCTCCTGCCGTGACCGACGAGGAGTGGGAGCTGTCACTAGTTCTAAGAGTGTGTGTCTTTGAAGGAAGCGACCCGATCGAGATAGATAATACCGCACGTCCCCCAAGTCCATTCTCCCCATCCCTAACACAGCCCTGCTTCTGCCCTTTGCCCGCCTCATCTTTCCTGGAACCCAGAGCTGACGCTGAAGGTGGCGACAAGCAGAAGGACGAGGCCGCGTGCTCACGATGGCTAAACACAAGGACCCAAAGGGCCTGGGTCCTCAGGCACCTCGCCCAGACCTGCACCGCCTGCCTCCACACCTCTCAGGACACCCTGCTGGTTAAGCTCCGCAGCTGGTGCAGGCGGGAAGGAGGTACTCACAGTCAGAGGTGTACTCCACCTGGGAGGGCTGCCCGGACGCACCATCTGCGGAGGCAGGGGTGGGGGCAGGACTGTCGGCCTGGGCTTTCCGGACCAGCACAGCGAGGGGATGATCTGGGTCCACCACCTTCAAGGGCTGCAGACAGAGAGAGCAAAGTCACGTTTCCTATGTTCCGAGTCACACAGAGAACTTCCGTGCAAGAAGTTTAGCTCGACTCCAGAACACAGTGTGGGAGCTTCAGGACGTCCTCAGCACACGTACACATGCAACTCTGCACGCGCATGTGTACACACGCACACGCTCACTGACCCGCCCAGCGCACTGGCTGGCTGAGAGCTTCCTAACAACCGCTAAGCAAAGGGATGGAACACCCAGGACCAGACTTCCTGACACAACGTGAGCATCCAGATCCACTCACAGCTGGAAACTCCTTCCTCAGAGAAATTACTGATTTCATCACCGGTAGCTTTTATTTATTTATTTTAAACTCTCACCCAAGGATACTTTTACATTTACCTTTAGATAGAGGAGGAGGGAGGGAGGGAGAGAAATATCGACTGGTTGCCTCCCACACGACCCCGATCAGGGTCGGGGACCGAACTGCAACTGAGGTACGTGCCCCTGACCGGAATCAAACCCGTGACTTTTTGGTCCGCTGGCCGATGCTCAACTGCTGAGCCAAACCGGCCAGGGCAGCACCAGCTTTTGAAGCCCACCAACCCAGTCGCCCTTTCCTGAGGTCGGCACAGGCACGAGCTGAGACACGTGTGGCCCTGCTTTCACGCCACTTACGGCGGCAGGCGCGTGGGTACTGCCCACACAGTGCTGAGTGACCCCTTTACAACAGAGGGAGGGAAGAGCGGGAAAAAAATGTGGTTTCAAGTAACACGTTATGTTGCCAAGAAGGTTAAGAGACACTGCCAGCAGCACACCCGGGACACCTATAGAGCCCAGTCCTATCACAGTGAATTCTACACAAAACCACCTCCAGGTGTAACCTTTCACTTACTCTGAGTGTCCCAACGGCACAGTTATGATAAATGAAAATAGTTTTCTTGTTAATTTTATAAAACAAGATACATAAGAAATAAAGCAAATCCTCTGCCACCAACCAACAACAAAAGAAAGCTAAACAGACCTCACTGACATCTGAGAAAAGAAATGCTCAATAACTCCCTGAAATCACCCCGCAGACGCCTGCTGTGGATACAAGACAGTGCGACAGGGGACAAGAACCTTCATCAGCTCTTCCAGGCGGTCACACTTCTTGGAAGCGAAGAGAGACGGGTGCAGGTAGCTCCCGCTGTCGTCGTCGTCCTCGTCGTCCTCGTCGTCCTCGTCAGAGCCGGCCCCCGACCCTGAAAGAAGCGCACGTTCAGGCTCTGCGCTGGGAGGAGAGTGAGGCTGCCACCGCGGGCTTCAGCAGAAAGCGGTGGAAGGAGGCTGGGCCCACAGGGCTGGCGACCTCCCTCCAGCCTTCATAGTCCAGAGCCGTTGTGTGTTCCAAGTTTTTAGCAGAAAAAGACAAAAACCTCATTGATACGTAAAACGTAAAATAACAGAAGGTATTTTTAGAGCCACAACACAGACAATGAGAGCTGTCATGAGATCTATACCACTGCTTTCGAAAACCACGTTTCAGCTGAAGAGAAAAAAAAATTAAACGGCAGGCATTCGTAGAGACCATTATCTATGACTACTGTTCAAAGTGGAGTTCGCTGTAGGAATTCCAGACGTAGGTGCTGTGATAAGGACAGGAGCTTAGGCAGAGATGAGGGAAAGCAAGAGACCAGTGTGTTGTCTCTGTGCACGAGGCCCTGTGAGCTCAAGCCCTAGCAAAGCGCCGCCTTCCCTAGCAACCCCGAACACCCATAGGGAGGGACAACCCCCAGCCAAGATGGCCTGTTTTGATAGCATCAATACTTAATTATGTCTCATCCACCCATAGGAATTAAGAACCTAGTCTCTCTTCCAACTCAAGAAAAGCGTCACGTGCGTGCGCCGTGGGGATGGCAGCAGGGCCCACGGTCACCTGTGGCCGGGTCTCCACGTGCAGGCTTCCATGGCAGGGTGAGAACACCCACCTCGGTGCTTCCCAGAGCCTCTGCCCCGCACACGGTAAAGGGGACAGACACACAGCCTCACGTACTCTGCTTCTCGTCGCTTCTGCTCTCTGCCAGCACCGGGTAGCGCCCTTCCTTCATGGCTTTCTGGATGAACTTGTAGTAGGGGTTGAGGTAGTGGTCAAAGCGCAGGAAGTCGAACTGAGAGTTCCGGGCCTGCCTGGCTTTCAGCATGATCTCGAACTGTGCCCCCTGCCTGCACACGAAGCGGGCGGTGCGCTCGATGATGGCGTGCATCTTGGCCGTGGGCGGCTGCGAAAGAACACACACTCACGTTGCTGTTTTTCCTCGGGACCATTCGCCACAGGGTTCAAAGCACAGAAATAGCCTGGCCGGCCCTGGCTGGTTTGGCTCAGTGGTTAGAGCATCAGCCCTCGGACCAAAGAGTCACAGGTTCGACTCTGGCCCTGGTCAGGATCGTGTGAGAGGCAACAAATCGATGTGTCCCCTCTCACATCAATGTCTGTCTGTCTCTCTCTCTCTCTCCCCCTCCCTCCTACTCTATCTGGAAACAGAAAAATATCCTCAGGTGAGGATTAAAAAAAAAGAAAGAAATAGCTCAGCCGGTGTGGCTCAGTGGATTGAGCACTGTCCCATGGACTGAGAGGTCCTGGTTCAATTCCAGGTCAGGGCACATGCCTGGGTTGTGGGCTCGATCCCCAGTGGGGGGTGTGCAGGAGAGAGCTGATCAATGTTTCTCTCTCATCGATAATTCTACCTCTCTCTCCCTTAAAAATATATAAATAAATAAATAAAATTTAAAAACATAGAAATAACCCTGGTTTTGCCCTGGCCAAGTGCTCAGTTGGTTGGAGTATCATCTCACCACCAAAAGGTTGTGGATTCAATTTGCGGGAGGGCACAAAACCCAAGTAATTCTGTTTCTTTGTATCCATCTCGTGTGGTTACTTTAAGTCTCTCCTGAGTTTGTAGCACTCGCCATACAGGCCTCCCTGAGCTTGGCGGGTTAGCATGTGGCCTGTCTGTCCACAGGGTAAGGACCCCACCCTGAACCCAAGTCCTGCCTCCTCTCTCAGATTCAGTCACTGAGCTCACAAGGGCAACGGTGACCATTAAAAGCCCATAGTCTCCAAAGAGACACTTCGTACCCAAACAGGGCTTTGAACCCGCCATGGTCAGTCATCAGGCCCCGAGCAGAGCCCTGGGAGCTGCCGCGCTGGTTCCCGCGACAGCCTCGCTCGGGACTGCTGGGTCACAGAAGCAGCGCCTCGCGGTCAACGACAACCGTGGCGAACAGGGCGTGAGGCACCTACCAGCTCCACGTCAGGCGGCACGTTCAGTCCCGCAGGGGCGATGAAGGGCTCCTCATTCTCCTCTGTGCGCTCAGCCTCGTTTTTCTCTGTGAGAAGAACACACAGCTTCAGAACCACGAGCGAGAGAAAGACGGCCCACCAGCAGCGAGCAACAGGCGAGTGCAACAGTGGCCTGAGCTGGTCCCTCATGTTTCATCTCCCATTTCTCCTGGAAGCACTTTCCAGCGCTCCCTTCTGTTCCACAAGTGAGTGGAACCACTTTAGCGAAGCCCAAGGCAGAGGGGGTGGTGCAGAGGAAGGACCGCATACCTGGGGCCACATCAGTTAGGTCTGGGACCCTGGGTGAGTGCCCTGACTCAGTTTCCCCTTTTGCACAAAGGCAAGAGCAGCACCCTCTCCCGGGGCCAGGGTGCGGTTTGGGTGAGATGACACACTTGAGCATTTGCACCACAACGCTCCACTTAGCAGGCCCCCAACACACAGTCCTCTTTCTCCCGGGCCTCACGGCGGATGGTGCTGTGCACGCCTCCTTCTGATCCAAACACTGCTCTCTAAAGCCAATGTACCACAGAGGCTTCAGAGACAGGACAAGATCTAAGCTGCCCAGGACCCTACAACAGACAACTTCTCTGGATGAAGAAGTGAGCGTTTACTTCTTATACCTGCGAGAACATTTCCGGTGATAGGTCCAAAAGTCATCGTACAAGGCATTAAATACCTTAATGGGGCTTTACCTGAAAATCGCATTTGACAATCTCTTTAGAAGCTAACAGGACAGGACCGTGCAACAGCGGCTCTTTCAACCATGAAGCAGGGTGGGAGGAAGGGCAGCAGGGAACAGGCCTGAGAAGGTTCGCCCGACACCCTACTGCTCTACCAGGGTCACACCCTCACTGAGGGCGAAGAGCCCGGGCACAGCTGCACCTTGCAAAGCAGATGGCATTTTTTTATCGTTCAACTGCCGCCATGACTTCACTGTTTGGTTTCTTACGTAGGAAAAACCAACTGAGGTGCCAGACAGCAGGTCCGCTGAGCTCTAAAATTAAGCCCTAGTAGGATGTGATTCTAGATTACAAACATTCGAATGGGTTTCTAAAGTGAAACGTCTCCCTTTCCATAGAACATCCTCGACACAGCGACCCATGCTTAAGGCTGCAGGCTGGCGGCATCACTTCTGATACCGGGTGACTGATGGGCGCAGGGCTGGGCAGTGGTGCTCACAGGGCTCCCATGTGACCAGGGGCACCTGTCCCTGTGCTACACGAGTCCAGACTTTTTAGTAGCACTATTTTTTAAAATATCCAAAGTTCAATGGTTGAACCAGAAAAGCATGAATTTAAAATCTTCAATCTTATGTAGATATTACTTGAAACACTGTGGACGGCCCAGGTCAGTTTTGCTCAGTGGTTAGAGCATCGGCCCACGGACCAGAGTCATGCATGGGTTTGATACAGGTCAAGGGCACATACCTCGGTTGCAGTTTGTTCCTGGCCCTGGTCATGGTGGTGTGGGAGGCAACCAGTCAACGTCTGTCTGTCTGTCTGTCTCTCTCTCCCCACTTCCTTCCCTTCCTCCCTCCCTCCCACTCTATCTGAAGATAGATGGAAAAATATCCTCAGGTGAGGGTTAAAAAACAAAACAAAAACACTGTGGTCAGTATGTGTCTGGGTCCTACCAAGCCAACCACAGCATCTTTGCTGTTTTCTGCTTGTAATAACTAAACCCCCAGGTGTCCTGCCACTGGACACCTGTCATGATTTCAGCTGCAAAGGGGACATGAAGAAACAGGTTAGCCTGAGGGCAGTTAAGGCCTAGGCTTTCAATGCCCCCAGAACAAACCACTGCAGATAGGTATCAACACATTATCTGTCAATCCAGAAATAAAGAATTCAGAGTGTTTCTACAATCCAGGTGATTTCCTGTTCCCTGAATCAAAGAGAAATGGGAAAAACTAGACCCAATGCAGATAAAGTCAGAATTCCCTGTCCACCTTCACGAACAAGTCAGCTTCTAGCTGTCAGCTCTGCTCTGCTCTCGGAAGGAAACCACCGTTCTCCCTGGTCACAGGGACGCGAGACGACTTGGCACCGACCGCACTCTGACGCCGCCCCTGCGCCCCTGCGGCACACGGCACACTGCCCAGCAGGCCCCTCCACTCACCTCTCTGCTTAGAGGGCTCCTCCTCCTCGGTCGGCTCCGACGGGTCATAGTAGTCGCTACCGTAAGTGAACCCCACAGCGGTATAGTTCCCATCTTCTGCTAGAGCTTCACTCAGGCGCTTGTATTCTTCCTCTTGAATAAAAAGGACACTTTCATTAACACAATGGACACCTACTGAGGAAACGTCATACATTCTAAAGTTGTAGCTGCAGTAAAGCACACAACACACTGTTTCGAGCTCTCTGAGGCGGGCACGTCTAACCCTCCGCGCTGTCAGTGCACGTTTACCACACAGCAGACGCGTCTCCTGTGAGACGCTTCTTCCTGCTGAGAAATCTGGGTTAAGAATTGCATTAAAGACTGTTAAGGCAAAGACAAGAACATCAATTTCAGTTTATACGATACTGTTAAAGAAGGACAGTTAAAGAGTTTTGTTTTTGTTTTGTCAAATCCCAGTCTGCCCTCAAAAGCTGGGAAAATTCTCTGTGGTTCTACATATAAACTATCCTGAGGTCCTCCCAGAACGCAAAGACGCCTGTTTTCCAATCCACTGGGTACTGTCAAGATAATATCAGAAAGAGTGAGTATAAAAAAATGAATGGGAGTAAATTTAAATACTTAAAAAATTTTAAAACGTTTGTGGCTTAAGTAAGTTTTTCTTGAGCAGTACCTTGCCTTGCCTCCTCCTCAAGCAAGTCCGTATGCAAGGCTAAATACCTCTCTTCATCACACAGGGCCTCTACTCGTGCCTCCTCTTCAGAGAGCTGGTAGTCTCTGTTCCAGGTGGAATACTCAGCATCGTACTCGGAAAGGTCATGCAGGTGACCACGCCCGTCATATCTGTAACAGGAACATGCTGGTCAACGGAAAGAAGTTACGGTCCAGGCTGGGTGGTGTGCGAGCTTTTCTAGACATACTTACCAATTAAAATAAAGAAATAAAAGTAGTAAAACAAACATAAGAACCCTTCTCAGATTTATATTTAAGTTGGCTAGTCACAGCTCACCTACTTGTAAACTGAAGTTACTTAGCAAAGTCTAAGCTCTTTCCACAACATGGTAAACTCGTCATTAAAGGCAAACACCCTTAACAGCATAATGCAGATGCACGCCACTGGCAGGCCTCACCGTCTATGGTTTGGTCAGCTACTCAGTGCCATTTGCAAAGTAAATTTTTCTGAAGAGTCAAATATCATAGCTTACATTCACACAAACCGAATACATAAATACCTATCCGTAAGAACCAAACGGTCGAAATTTCCTCGCTTCTCTCTGCTAGTCCCGAACTCTCAGGAGAGATCTTCATCAAAGAAACTTGCGTCCATTGGAGTAAAATCTTGGCTAGGCTCGCCCCCTAGCCACTTGGCTGAGGAGAGAAGTGCTGGGTTATGTGACAGAGAGACACACACAGGAACAGTGACATGTACATGCAGTTGAAGGAGGTTCACTGGGAGCAGAGTGCAGCTGAGAGAATGCAGCACGGATATGTCCTTCCGAACTCACACCCCCAGGAAATACTCTACACGACACACACCCAGGTACCACGCGGACCAGCAGGTCCCTTGGCAAACGGAGAGTAAGGAAAGCAGCCCCGCTACACCTTTGCGTAAATGACTCAATGAGATGCTGTCGACCAGCAAGGAGCGAGCCTGTGAGGTTCACTTCCCAGACTCAGGGTCCAAAAACAAATGTAGCGGGACAAACAAAAGTCTGCCTAACTTTTTAACGCAGGCTTTTGTAATGAGGACCCCACCCTGAAAAAAAAAAAAAGAAGACATTTATAAGACAAAAGGCCAAAAACTCCAGGGTAGCGAAAGTGACTGCATCTCACTGAATTCCAAAATGGCTTTTACTTTGACGTAAACCTCCTTAACTTACAAAAGTGGTTCATTACTTAAAAGTATCACACACGTACACGTGTGGCGTTTGCTCCCGCCACTTCTGGAAGACCTGACTCGAGTCATGTACAGGATGAGACGGAAAACTGTATGGAGCTCAGCCTTCATCGCTTCCCAAACTTTCGTAATAAACAGCGCAAGGGGCACTCTGGGAGAGCCAGCGGCCTGACAACGGGCCACGGCCTTCCGTGGACACCGCAGTGGAAGGCACAGCTCCTGAGCGCCTGGAGCCCTCGTCGGGACCTGAGCTGGCCACCCTCCCTGCAGGAGTCCTTGTTGCCTAGATCTAACTCCACCCGGAAAGGTCAGGGGTGGACAAGGCCTACTGGGTCACTTTAAGTGTCCATTCTGGTCAGCTCAGAGGTCAGCCCTAGAGTCACACTCCAGGGCTCTGCAGGATCCAGTTTTAACGGTCACAAATGACGGGTTCTTTCACTCCAAGGGTACTCCACAGTTTAATGGGAGGGTCACCGCTGGCTTTTCAGTCCGGGCCCCAGAAGTGGGGGGGGTGCCCAAGCGGCAAAAAGAAAACAAAAAACTCAAACAAGCCAAAAACAAAAAACACCCCCACACCACCAACCAATGAACACAAAGCCCGAGGAGGGGAGAAGCGAGGGGAGCTGGAGACGTGGGGTGGGGTGGGGGGAGCAAACGACCTACATCGTGTCACGCCTCCCTTTTCCAACCAGACACCCTCGGACACTGCGCCCGGGCCCCTCGGCCGAAGGGGCGCGCGCCCCGCGGGCGGGTCCCCGAGGCTGGTCTGATTGGAAAAGCAGCCCGTGCGCCTCCCGGTGAAACCCGCCCCGAGGGCCAGGCCCGGCGCCTGCACGACGGCACCCGGCCGGCGATCCGCGGGCGCGCGCCCTGCGCCCGGAGCTGTCAGGCCGCCGGCGTCCCGGCGGGGCCGGGGAGGGACCGTGCGAGGCCAGGGTCACCGGCCGGGCGCTGCAGGGCGCGGGGCGCAGGGCGCGGGCCCGGCTCGCGGCGGCCGCCGGCTCCACGCGGCCTCCAAGGGCGGCGTCCAGCCCCGCGCCGACCCCGGCGACACGCGCGGCCCGGCCTGCGCCCCCGGGCGGGCCTCGCCGCCCGCCCCCCGACTGCGGGCTCCGCGGCGCCCGCCCGCCCGCCCGGCCCCGTCACAGCAGCGGCGGCTGGGGAGGCACCGACCTGTCGATGAGGATCTTGTGGTCCCCCATCCAGGGGATGAGGTGCTGGCCCTGCTCCTGGGCCAGGGCCCGCTCGTCGTCGCGGAACAGCTTGCAGGCATAGCCGAACACCAGCAGCTCCGCCCGGGCGCCCGCTCCGCCCGCCGCGCCGGGCCCGGCCTCCTCCTTCGCGCCGCTCTTCCGCTCGGCTTTGGCGCGGCCGCCGCTCGCGCCGTACATGACAGCGTCCCCGGCGCCCGGGCAGGTCCTGTCGCGCGCCGCCGCCGCCGCCCCGGGCCTGCCGCTCAGTCGGAGGCGCCGCTCCCCGGCCCCAGCCCGGACCGCGCCGCCATAGCGGGCAACAAAATGGCGGCAGCGCGGCTTCCGGCGGCGAGCGGCGCACTTCCGGCGGCGGGCGGCGCACTTCCGGCGGCGGGCGCGGCCGAGTCGCCGGGCCCCGGGGCCGCGGGCGCCGCGGGCAAATAGCTGGGCTCCGGCCCCGCCTCCGGGGGCCCGTCCCCCGGCCGGCTCCTCGAGCGCCGGCGGCAGCGCGGGGCCGCGTCGCGTGCGGCTGGAAGGCGGGCGGGGGCTGCGTGGGCGCGGCCCCGGGGGCAGGGTCGGGGTGGGGCTCCCGGGACTTGAGGGGCTGAAGGAACTAGGGCATTTGCGGGGGCCCGAGGGGATGGGAGGATTTGGGGAGCCTGGGATGGGGCGGGCGTGAAGGGACTGAGGGATTTGGGGGATCTGAGGAGACTGGGGGATTGGGGGGCTTGGATTTGGGGGACTAGGGGTTTGGGGGCTGAGATTTGCGGGACTGGAGGACTGGGGCGTGAGGGGACGAGGGATTTGGGGGGCTGGAATTTGGGGCACTGGGGATTTGGGGGCTGGGATTTGGGGACTGGAGGGCTGGGGGCATGAGGGATTTGGGGGGCTGGAGGATTGGGGATGTGAGGGGACAAGGGATTTGGGGGGCTGGAATTTGGGGCACTAGGGGTTTGGGGGCTGGGATTTTGGGGACTGGAGGACTGGGGGCATGAGGGATTTGGGGGACTGGAGGATTGGGGATGTGAGGGGACAAGGGATTTGGGGGATCTGAGGAGACTGGGGGATTGGGGGGATTGGATTTGGGGGACTAGGTGTTTGGGGGCTGAGATTTGCGGGACTGGAGGACTGGGGCATGAGGGGACGAGCGATTTGGGGGGCTGGAATTTGGGGCACTGGGGGTTTGGGGGCTGGGATTTGGGGACTGGAGGACTGGGGCGTGAGGGGATGAGGGATTTGGGGGCCTGGAATTTGGGGCACTGGGGGTTTGGGGGCTGGGATTTGGGGACTGGAGGACTGGGGTATGAGGGGATGAGGGGTTTGGGGGGCTGGAATTGGGCACTGGGGGTTTGGGGGCTGGGATTTGGGGACTGGAGGACTGGGGCGTGAGGGGACGAGGGGTTTGGGGGGCTGGAATTTGGGGCACTGGGGGTTTGGGGGCTGGGATTTGGGGGACTGGAGGATTGGGGGCATGAGGGATTTGGGGGGCTGGAGGATTGGGGGTGTGAGGACAAGGGATTTGGGGGCTGGGAGTTTGGGGGGGACCTAGGCTCTTGGGGGCATTGGACTGAGAGTCTGGGGGACCGAGGAGGCTGGGGTGGTGACTGAGAGGCTACAGGTGACCATGAAAACTGGTCGTCTGAAAAGAGACAATTCGCACCCAAGCAGGGCTTTGAAACGCGCACGGGCAGCACCCGGCCAGTCCCCGGGCAGCGCCAGTCCCCTGGAACGGCCAGTCCCCGGGAAGGGCCGGCCGCCCATGCTGGGCCCGAGCCTGGGGGCTCTCTCCTCCCGCCCCCCTCGCTCCTGGGCCTCTCCCACCGAGCCGGAGCCCAAGCCGAGCCCTGTCCGGATCGTCGTCCTAGGAGACGCTGAGCTTGTTTCCGTCCACGATCGCTCTGTCTGAGTGATCTGAGGGGACCACCCCCCCTTTACTGTGGCCCAAAGTAATCACTCTGCCAGGACTTCACAAAAACCTGCAACCTGAAAACCTGGGGCAATGCTGCCCAGACCTCCCCCCACCCCTTCCCCAGCAGGGCAGCCCTGACTCCCCAGATAAAATTGGCTGAAGCAGTTTAAAGGTTAAAACGTGTTTACCCAGCCCTTGCTTCGAGAAATGCATCCCAGGGAGTCATCAGAGGTGTTCGCCAAGATTTATAGTCATAGCAGCGCTGTTTGTAGTGGTAGAAAGTAAGGGCCCATTAAATACATGATTATGCATTATTGCTGTCCTAGCATTCCAAGCGTGCGCTAAAATAATGCTACGTGTGCACGAGAACACGTGTGCAGGGGTGCCCATCGCAGGCTCGTTTGTCGTAACCAAAGACCATCGCGTGAGGGGTACAGCCTGTGAGAGGCAACAAACCCTCACCGTCCGTAGTTAATCATTCGGGTCAGTGCAGTGTGCCAGCAGGTCCAGGTTCTGTGCAAAGTGGCAGAAACTCGGGCTCGAACCAGCGAGGAAAGGGAACAGGTTGGCTCACAAATAAGGGAGTCGGTTTTAGCCTTGGGCCTGCGTGCAGACCTCTGCCCCCAGCAGGAAGTCTTCCTTCTCTCCCTGTTCTGCGTGGTCTTCAGCCTCAGCCCCCACATGGTGTCTGGCTGTGACCTGGTCACTCCTGCAGGGTCTCCATCTCATGCACTCATGAAGGCACAGGCCCTGGCCAGTTTGCTCAGCGGTTAGACCGTTGGCCTGTGGCCCGAAGGGTCATGAGTTTTGATTCCCAGTCCAGGGCACGTGCCTGGGTTGCAGGTTCAATCCCTGGCCCTGGGAATGGGGTCATGCAGGAAGCAACCAGTCCGTGTGTCTCTCTCACATCACTGTTTTCTCTCTCTCTCTCTCTCTCTCTCTCCTCTCTCTCTCCCTTTTCCTCCCTGCCACTCTATCTAAAAATGTCCTGGAGTGAGGATTAACCAAAAAAAAAAAAAGAAAAGAGCACAGGATCCCCGCCCCTGTAGTTGGATAGGACTCTGATTGGTCTAGATGAGGTCACATGCCTGAACCCCAATAATGCCGTGGCCAGGAGAGACTGTGCACATTAGGTGGACCCAGTCACAGGATTCACGAGTAGGAAAAGGCGAGGGCCCCACCAAGATGATCATGGAGAGGAAAACCTCTGTCCATGTGGAGCGTGACCTTGACGGAAGGTCGTCCGCGGCTCGGGAACTGCTGATTCTTGCTCCCCTGCCAGCCTTCCTGGGTCCGTGGGGTCCCAGATGAGCCCAGGAGTCTGTTCCATGTTTGAACAGCACCCGTCAGGTGCACAGGTGGAGGGAGGTGGAAGCCCTGGGCTGTGTCACACCTGAGTGACAAGTCGTCTTTTGTGCTCGAGGACCTCAGCTGTGGCATGATGACTGCGGAAGCGGGATCCCTGACAAAGCCCTGTCTGTCCTGTCACTCAGGACCCGAGTCCCCCACCTTCCCTGCGGCAGGCCTGTCATTTCCTGTCCCGGGATCAGGGCTGATGCTGTTTCCTTGTGCTGTAGGACGTGCAGAGACCAGGGCAGAAAGGTGCCCGGTGGTCAGCCCAGCACCGGGGTCTGGCCTGTGATCAGCGGGGCCAGGAACAGCCCGAATCTCAGCGGGGCCCATGGGAAGAGTCTGGGATCCTGGGAAGGTGGCCGATGGACTCCACATGCCGGGAGGTCCGGGGGACGCTGGCAGGCCACGTCTCCTGTGGGATGAGCACAGCCCAGAGGGACGCGTCTGAGCTGGAATGCAGCCCTCACAGCTGCGTGACGCAGGGCAATGGGATGACGGCTCAGACTCAGTGTACCGTCTGTAGACTGGAAACCGTCCTCGGGCTGATGTCACTGGGCAGTCGTGCGAAGTGAGCAGTCCCCTTAGAGCAGCACAGGCTGTCACTTCCCACCTGAGTCCTGCCCCTCCCAGCAGCCCCTTCGGGCTCAGCGCCAGCTCCTCCAGGCTGGCTCCTTGGCTCGTTCTAGAACAAAGCTGCAGAGCCTCCTTCTCCACAGCCTCTTCTGGTCAACCTGAGTCAGGCCTCGGGCGCACCCCAGCCTCCCTCGGAAGATGCAGTCAGTCCCCCACGGCCCAGGGTCGCTGAGCACGTGCTGTGCCTGCGTCTAGAAGCAGCAGGGAGACGCCAGTGAGGAGGCAGCGGGCCCACAGCTCACCTCCCAACGCTGACAGCAGACGGCCTTGGCAGCCTCCGCCTGTCCCTGGCTCCTGGGGTGGGGGGGAGGGGGGAGCCACCTCGTGCTGGAGCCACCGGGCCACCTGTGCAGGATCTTCCCGCAGAGCAGAGCGGTCCTCGCGGCCTGGTGGGATGTGTCCATGGCCCCAACCTGAGGTCAGCCAGCCGCCCCCCAATCCCTGTGGGGTGAGGGCCTGCTGATGCGTCTGGAGCTCCCAGACTCCGTGGAAGGACATGGCTGGTGACACTGTCATGCCTGTGGGTCCACGAGAAGCTCACCTTCCTCCCATCTTCACAGACT